AACAAAATTAAAACAATTGAAGTATAAATTGTAATTTAATTAATATAATATAAAAAAAAAGTGCAAAAACAAAAAAATACATTCTTGTCCTTTCTCGGTCTTAGTCTGATTATTCCAGCTCTTATACTTTCTAAGATCCTTTCGTTCATACGGGTAGGCGGACATGGCTATATCGATTCGCCTTGTCCTACTGATATTTATACTGATATACAACACATATATAAATTGTGGGTTCTGCCAAGCCTACTTCTGTGCGTTACTTATAGTATACAAGTATTAGCAGTAAACTAAGAGGTACATAACAAGTATATACTTAAACAACAAAAAACACCGCTTTCAATTAAGAAATATTTTCTACGAGTATATATCCTGCGTCATAAAGATACTAAGTGACAGAGTCGATAAGATGAGCTGGCTCCTAACCAGCAAAACACTGTCACTCACAAACAAGGTCACCGTATAAAAATCCTGCATCGCCCCTTCTTGACGATATGGCTTTCAGGTATACGGAATCGCTGTCAAATTCCACATTGAGAAAATCCGAATTCTTCAAGCCAAAACCTTTCGCCTCCTAACTGGAGCCCCCTGGTACATGGAAGCGGCAAACATAGAAAAGGACCTTGGAGTGCAGAAAGTAGGTGACGTCCTCAACGAACAAGCTTCACAGTACATGAGGCGTCTACAAACCCACGCAAATGTTATAAGAATGCTAGCTTAGCTGTATTTGTATTTAGCTGTAAGTTTAATTAAAGTTATAAAAATAACATCTTAATTATAGAGGAAGAAAAAAACAAGAAAGGAATGCTTAAGTCGAGCGAGCTCAACTCTTAAATACCCTCCCACAAAAAAGGAAAAAATGCAAACAAAAAATTTAAAATTAATTTTTAAAAATTATATTAATTAAATTATTTAATTAAATTAAATACAAATTATTCAATACATATGTATATACAAAAGTGGAGACATGTTCATGTACAGTTTCAACAGCATACATTTACAACAGAATCGTGTCTCTGCGTGTTTATGTGCATGTATGTAAGCAGCACAAAGTTGAACCAAAACAGCAACAACAACAACAGCTGCGGACAGAGCTACAAGCAGAGCATGGGCAGCGATTTTATTTATGGCTATAACTTTCTTCAGAATTGACCTACCATGATGAAACTTGGCACACATGTGTAATGTCAAATTTGAGTCCAAAATTCCAAGAATTACAGGGAGTGGGGGGTGAATCAGAATAAAACAAGTAAAAAAGCTAAAGTCGGGTGTCCCGACTTTGAAATACTCTGTACATATGTTTACAATAATTATAGAAAATAAAAAAATTAGGAAAATTAAAAAAAACAAGTAAAAAAGCTAAAGTCGGTCTATCATAATGAAACTTGGCATACGGACACATAATAACCAACTGGGGGTATTTCCAAAAATTTAGTTCGAAATTCTAAGAATTACGGGAGTTACGATTTTCTGGGTAGAGGAGGGAGGGAGGGAAATTCCAAAATATACATTTTCTGCGTATTCACATAAGACATCTGGGACTACAATTTGGTGTTCCTAGGTCTTATAGTCTCCGAGATATAGGCGGTTATACGAATGGAAAATCGGGAAAACCCCCATAGGGGGGTTGGTGTCTCTATCTCTTATAGTCTCTGAGATCCAGGTGTTCATACGGACGGACAGACGGACAGTCGGACAGACGGACAGACAGACAGACAGGGCTAGATCGACTCGTCTCGTCATGCTGATCAAGAATATACATATATACTTTGTGGGGTCTGCCACGCCTCCTTCTGTCTGTTACATTTTTCAGCTCCCGCAAACCTAATATACTTACTTCTGTACATTTCATGTACAGAGTATAAAAACAAAATTGACCTGCCTAGGGCTCAGGGGAACCTGGATACCAAGTTTGGTAATTCTAGCTCTTGTACCTTCTGAGATCATTGCGCTCGTCCACGCGGACGAACAGACGGACATGGCTATATCGACTCGGCTTGTCACCCTGATCAAGAATATATATATGCCACGCCTCTTTTTGCCTGTTACATACATTCGCACAAAACTAGTATAGCCTTTTACCCTTTGGGTACAGGCTATAAAAAACCGAAATCATTTATATTTTGTGAACCAACTAAACGCGTTATTTTTTATAGTCGGTAAAGCCATTGATAATTTGTTTTGTATGTATGTTTATATTGAACACTAACTATTTCTTTAATAAAAATTTAAATACTTATATATGAAAGCCAAGCGTTTTTGAAAAACAAAATATGCTCACACCTATTATTCTGTCCAGGGGTGTATATGATTTGGAACCCAATGCGCTCGCAGTAAAGCAAAAAGCGTAAGACTGATTTCCCAACCTTGTTATGATTACACTTTAGAAACGCGGCTCATCCAATCGCGGTTTGCTTGAGACGCCCTTGGGACATACAAACTGCGCAAAACATGTATAATCTGGCTCAGCGTACGACCCCAGCGATTAGGCATGTCAGCACATCATAAATAACGTTTAATAGGGATCGACATTAGTGTCAAGCATTTAATCAGTTCTGCGATTAGCTCCACTCAAACGGAAATTGTTTTGATGAATCTGGGTGGTCAATGAATGGGTAACTTTTCAGTGTACAAATTTTAATGATACCTGATACCATGATACTTATTCAGATTACCTCCTTGGATCGTGAGAATTTACAGCGCAACCTACGAAGGCAGACTATCATGTTTCTAGCCAGGCCATAAAGACAATCTCCCACATTAACCCAACTATGGTATTGGGATTAGGAATCTTTTTATGTATTTCCGCCAAACTTTCAGCCATATCGTTATTATAGATATCGTTCAACATTGTGTTGAAATCATTTTGTAAATGCAGAAATATGAACGTGGACGTACGAGCTTAGAAGATAGAAAACGTCCGGGTCGCTGTAAAATTGTAACCACTGACGAAAACACCACCAAAATTTACCAAAGAGCTCTGGGTGACCGCCCGTTCAAAGTAAGGTAGATAGCTCAGATTACCAAGATGTCTAAAGATCGCGTTTGCCATATTTTGAACTACAAGTTGGACATGAGAAAGTTTTTTGTTATCAATTTATTTGCAATAGAGTAAGATGACATTAAAACTTAAGAGAACGCTACAGTCGAGCAAGCCCGACACTGAAATACCCTGTACCCAGGTAAACTTCCGACACTGAGGTATATGCGCCCATATCAGAAGCAAAAAGAGGAAAAAGAAGAGCGAACTTGTTGCTGCAGTTTGTGGGGGTTGTACTGGAGAGAATTTTTTTCGCTAATAACTTTTCTTAGAATTGACCGAATTGGATAAAAAGTAAACAACAGTAGATAATCATATATATTAATTATGGGTGAAAGTTTGCTTTAGGTAGCATTTGAAATGTCGACGATATTGACGAAATTCTGCAGCGGGGGAAGGGGGGAAAATTAAAAAAAATAAAAAAAAATCGTCCTTTCTCGGACCTAGGAGAATCTGGATACCAACTTTAGTTGTTTCAGCTCTTATAGTTTCTGAGGTCCTTGCGTTCATCCAGGCGGACAGACGGACGGACATATCTAGATCGATTTCTCTTGTCATGCTGATTCAGAATATATATACTTTATGGGGTCGGAGATGCTTCCTTCTGCATGTTACATACTTTGCACAAACCTAATATACCCTTTTTACCTTACGGGTACAGGGTATAAATATGGAAAATAGGGAAAGCTGAAATTCTAAATAATGTAAATGTGCTCATATAGTACAAACGCATTTTATTCTCCAAGATAATAAAAACGATAAGCTAAGATTATAATTTGTGAAGTTCAAGTTCTAAAGTAAAGCTTAAGAATATTTTCAGGATGGCGCAAAAGTAAAGAGAACGAAGGATTTTATTCTTCCTACTCTCCAGACCTAGCCCCTAGTGACTTATTTTTATTCCCTATACTTAAATTAAGTATACTACCTTCACAACAACAAAAAAATATATACATTCGCGTTACTTTGCTGAACAAATGTAAATCATAGAAACATAACAAACCAAATTACAAAAATTGGTAGAGAATATATAAAAGAGAATATATAATGAGCGCATATCTAGAATATGACTCTTTTTCGTCTAAAACCGATCTAAAAATCTTCAAATCAGCATTATAAACCGACTTACAATAATAACAAAATAATATTATATATTAATTATTCGTTTATAAACTATTTAAGTGATATGGATATTGCTTAAGACTATCGTACACATTTTTATACTCTGTACATGAAAAGTACAAGAGTATATTGGATTTGCGCGACCTGAAAAATGTAACAGGCAGAAGGAGGCGTCACAGACCCCACAAAGTGTATATATTCTGAATCAGCGTGACGGAACGAGTCGATCTAGCCCTGTCTGCCTGTCTGTCCGTCTGTCTCTCTGTCCGGCCGTATGAACACCTGGATCTCAGAGACTGTAAGAGCTAGAGACACCAAATTTTGCACAAAGATGGCTTTTGTGTGTACGCTGTACAAGTTTGTTTTATTTTTTTGAATTTCCCCCACTTCCCCCCTATGGGGTTTTCCCGATTTTCGTATAATCGCCTATACAGAGTATTTCAAAGTCGGGACACCGGACTTTAGCTTCTCTACTTGTTTTACCTAACTTCACTAGAATAAAAAAGAACGGAATAATAAAATGTCGCACGCAGCTGATTTGTAAGAATAAAAAAATTACCGTTATGCTATTAAGCAACAAATATACTACTCTTACGTAGTAACACATACATACATATGTCTGAGGAGGTATAAATAATTCATTAAACTATTTGAGGCGTGGGTAGAAATAATATTAATTCAGATTCTGTAAAAAATCAAAGCAAATCAAATCACCTTTTTGTGATATTTTGCAATATTGTTATAATAAAATACGACAACAGCTGCCAACCATGCCATACTAATTTATTTTTCCCCTCTCTCTTCTTCTCGTGATCTCGTTACCTTTTTTTGGATACGCTTATAGCTGCCTTGGAAGAGGACTGCGTTGACTTTCAGGGAAATAAAGTGAACCATGGAATGCTCTATGTGCCCGGACCAGGCGTTTGTAGCTTATGCGTTTGCTATCATTCCGAGCCACTCTGGTGCAAGGCAATATACTGTGATCCGCCATATGTAAGTGAAGGCAGTTTGATAAAGAACGGCATAGTACTAACAATCCCACTTCTTTTGTCCTTTAGTTCTGCAAAAATTTCAGGGTTGGCGAACGCTGCTGCGAGTTTGAGTGTCTCGATCCACCTGGCGAGGATAAACTTTATCAAGTGCGTTGCATACTTGTAGTTTATGGGATTGTGATTGTAAAAATAACTCTTCTCATTGCTTTCAGGAGCGTATGCGGAAACGCGCTGAAATTTTGGCTGGAAATAGCACGGCCTCTTATGTGAAACTGACCCCGCTGGCCATGTCCACAATAATGCTTACTTTTCTTGGTAACAGCATTTTCACTTTATAACTTAAAGACACATAGTAGCGAAGAGGACGAGAAGCTGCAGCAGCAAGAAGAACAATTCATAATACATAGTCTTACTCTAAGAGCGCACTTTGAAAACTTTTTCAGCATGCCAATAGAGAATTCCTATATGGAAGTTAAAAATTTTCAAAGAAAATTTAAAGAAAAAAAACAAAAACTAAACCAATCAATTACATATTTTCTTGCCCCGTTTTGTTTGTGTTTCTTTCTAACCGAAATCTGTCTTAACTTATTACAATGTAATAATTATAATTAACAAATACATATATTTAGGTAAGAGCATAAAAAGCTACATAAAAATGCGTACTACTGAACAATACGTAGGTTTTCAAATTTTACCCCTAGACTTGTGTAGGTATAATTAAAAAATAATTCAAAAAGCAGCAATTGTAAACCTTTTACTTACACTATCCCGTTCAGTTATTTAGAATAACAAATCAAACTGCAAAATTTTTTAACATTTTAATGTGATCGAAATCAGAAAAGGCATATACTAAGTACTTATATGTAAGTACATACTTGTACATACATACATAATACTGTGTATACACTTACCACATAAGTAAACCAAAATTATGAAGCGAACGCAAGGGACAGTCTCTTACATTTAAGTCCAATTAGAAACATAAACGAGTATGTATATATGTATGTATATGTACATGTATATATGGTATATAGTATATATATAAATATATACTATATATATACCATACATATAAAATCAAAAACTTGTTGATTAGTGATTAGTTACTCGTAAATAAACGGATTGAACATTCGCGAATGTGCACCAAGTCCACATTAGTCCATGGGTTTACAGTCAGGCATGACTATATAAGATTATTTCTTTGTGTAAACATGTTGCTAGTCTTAGGTGAGGTTGATTTTGAATGCCCACACTTGAACAGCATATAGTATATTAGGTTCTGTTAATTTGGAAAGCGATCTAAAAAAACAAAACACAGAGAGCTTGATCAATTGTTTTTATTTGGAAATCCTGCTTAAATGCGTAAATGTGATAGCGAACGATTGTAGGACTTAGCAGCAGCCCCCCTTGCCATTTCAATATTGATTTTCGAAACCACGCCGCATTCGAAGCTTGCCATCTCATGCAGAACCGATTGTCTTTCGAATCAATATGTTTTTAAATTGGCCTATGTACATTGTCTTTGTTATTATCAACAAGTATGATTATGATTAGAATCTGCGTTCGACATAATTTTGATATCATAAACTGTAGAAAATTATACATACATACATATCTTGACAACATTTTAATATTGTTACTTATAGCTTATAATATATATGTATTTTAATATTTTCATATGTATTGGCAATCATACATATTATATAAATAAACGTGCATACCTGGCATCCGAATAATGATAAAGATCGATGAATAATTTATGTTGGCATTGGTGCTAAATTAATCAGAGGAAATATACATGTGAATCATATATGTATGTACATCTCTGCTCATCAGCTATGAACATCAAATATACTTGTAGTTGAACATTTTATACGATACATATGAGACAAGAATTCAAATCAATACACATGTATCAAATGTGTTAACATTAGGGTATTCTCATAAAAAATAAAATCTAAAAGGTACTGCATATTCCACATTTTTGTAATAGAAACTGCAGAAAATCATTTGCCAAATCCAAGAAAATATTTCATATATATTGCCCTGAGTTATCACCGGCATTCTTCGAATGATTTCACCGAACTTTCGAATACTCGTACATACAAGTAAAAGCTTAAAAAATACTTAATTGGAAGTCTACAGTTTTTTCACAGTACCTGCATATTTAATTTTCTCAAGCAAGATCATAAAAACACTTGTACAGCATGGTTTATTAAAAAAATGAAAGCAAATTTTAATAATATTACAAAATATACAAAGTTATCGATAGTCAATAAAAAGATGCCTAATTGCTTTAATTTTAACTATTGGGAAATGTGTCTCAGATTGATAGACTATCCTCCCTTCATTTACTGGGTCTGGTCACACTTAGTTTATCTTTGATCGTCTTTTCACTTGCAACCGTTTTGTCTTTCGAAAAAATATTTGAAATATCGTTGAATAGGCGACAATAATAGAGATATTTAAATCAGCATTTAATATAAGAATCAGATTGGGTTTTGGTATTTCCCGTCATTTTAAACACGTTTATGAAGTCCTGTACCCAAGTCTGGTTCTCTCTCGGCTAAAACTTAAGGTATCAGGATATTAAAACTAAGGTCGGACCCGCGGGTGGCCTAAAAGCATTAGTGACAGGTCAGCCAATGGGCTAATTATTAAAGATTACTAACAAAGTGATCAACTAACTGGCTACTTGCAAGTAAACATTTTTATTTGTCGCTCTCTGCTTTTTTTCGTCTACACTATATATCTCTTATTCGCTTTATCAAGGCACATAGCAGGTCCAGTAAGTTATGAACTTATCATGTACTCTATATAAGGGAAATCATAGGAAATATACACAAAGTATCTTAAAATATGTAAATGAAATGGTAATGAGTACGGCTGTGAAATATTGTTTGCTTTAAACTCAAAACACACACTTAACACTCACACATACATCCACATATATATACATATATATATATATATATATATATATATATATATATATATATATATATATATATATATATATATATATATATATATATATATATATATATATATATAAATACAAATACATAAAATTAAAGAACAAATATCAAATTAAAATTAAATTAATTTAACTGGCAATAGCTAAAACTTTAAATAGAATTTATGAAAAAAAATGTAACAACAAACGATAAAAACTGAACGTACAATTCAAATGCCGCAATATCTGACCAATAGGCAAATATGCATAGAACTCATGACAACCATTGAAACATTATATACTTATATATAATGGTTTAATGTTATATAAGTATATATATATGCGCGCTTTAAACAACAATTGAGAAAGGGTATAATTTAATAGACCTAAAAATTGTTAAAAACAAACAAATAACAAAGTAGCTTTAATTTTAAAATAATATTCAAAAAAGCCACATTTAATTGTTACCTTTAATCTTTTTTAAGTTCCAAGTGTACCCCTTTAAATAAAAGATAAAAATACTTATTTGTAATCACACTCATAATGAGTCACAATGTAATTTTAATTAATAAATGTGAGTCCGAATTCCTAGTTCTTGGGCTATAAATTTGGTTTGCATTCCTTTTCTTGAAATAAGCCGAAATAAACAGAAACTTGCTGGGTACAAAAGTCCACCTAGGGTCGCAGTGTCTCGCGTTGCATTTCGCGAAACTCCCCCCAAAATCAACATAGACAGTTCCCGCTGACATGTTTCGTCAGGGAACCTCGAAATCTTATTTTCCAAACGGATCAATGATAGTGAGGCAGTAACGTATTCCGTTGCCACGAGGTATTTCTATAAGATACAAGTAGATCCAGGTAGTGGAAGCTGTTGCCAGGTAGTCGATTGGAAAATGTCCGTCTGTCTGTCCGCCTGTCCTACGGACAGTATGAACACAAGGATCTCAGAAAGTATACGAGCTAGATTAACCAAACTTGGTATCCAGAATTTCCTAAGCCCGAGAAAGGATAAGTTTATTCATTTTTTCTGATGTGTGTTCTCATCCGGTTTTTAATTTGCCTCGTCTTCCCTACCATCTAGCCTAGTTTCATATACGGTAACCCGTTATACCGTGCACCTATTAAAAAACGAAAGAAATTATATACCAAATTATATACCCTGTACCTGAAGGGTATATTATTAATTGAATAAAAAATACAATAAACTCGTGTTGCCTCCATATTAGGTGGAGTCTAAATACCAAATTTGGTGAATGTGGGCTCAACTGTCTCCGAAATCTACGCGTTCATCCAGACAGACAGACAGACGCACATGGCGGAGATGCCGCCTTCCACCTTATACCTACTTTGCACAAACCTAATATATCAGGATATGAAAACGACTCAGTCACCTATATCTAAGATATTGTGCTCATAACTATGCAACTTTCCAAAAGTGTCTAAAAAACTTATACATTCACAAAAAACAAACTTCTACTTAATTTGAGTCTCTTGAACCCAACCACTCCAATCGAAACCAAAGTCGAACTTAGCTAAAGCTAAGCACTGAATATATACAAGTATCAAACAAGCTAAATCTGCTGTTCGAAAGAATGCACATCATCAATCGCAAGAACTTAAGCGGCAAAGAGCTGGAAGAGGTTCACAAGTGGCTCCATCAAAATAACATCAACTCGCTTCGCCTGCGTCGCGAATTCTCCGATGTGCTGCCTTTGGCTGAGCTGCTAAAGCGCGACTATCCACGCCTTATTGATCTTTATAACTACCCGAAAAAGAATAGTGTTCAGCTAAAGATGGTGAATTGGGAGACGTTCAACTTTAAGGTTCTCTCAAAGTTCAATCTGACACTGAGTCGCGAGCTTATGGAGCTACTGGCCGGTGGTGTGCCCGGCGCCGCTGAGGTCCTGTTGCATGAGATAATACGTTTGGAGAAGCGTCAGCGTTTGGTTGAAGAGCGGAACGCATCACGACGTCAGGAGCAGGCCTGGGAAGAGAACGATGAGGTCAAAACTGTTGTGATTAACAAGCAGGTTGGCGATGGGATTGTTCAGGTGCCACAGAAAATGATACTATATTCTATTTACGAGAATGTGGTGCGCGATAATCAGGGAAAGGACGTTGTCATTGAAGCCTATCAGCAGCGATTATCACACATGGAGAATATCATTAAGGTCAAGACGGAACGCATAGAGGAGTTGCTAATGCAGGTGGGCAAGGGGACACAGAAGACGACTTCGTCTACGCTGTTTGCATATGATTCGCTGGACTCCGAACGCAGGCGCAATGCACCAGCACCGGCGCCTTCGGCTGACAATTAATGTGCAACGCATTCTAGACGACCTTGGAAACCTAAAACATAGTTCTGGGAGTGCACATGGATGCATTTACTCATTTACATGCTTACGTATTCATATATTTCTGAAGTTATTTGTATTGCAGCTACCATTATGTACATATATCCAGTTCCAGTTTTGTGGTTAACCAGAGGAAGGAAAGGCCCATAACCAAATTATTGTAGTAAACGTCAAAAAAAAGCATTGGTATTTTTGTTAATGAATTTTTTGAGGGTGCTGGGTATATCTACAAGTATATACATACATACATATGTACAGTTTGTCCTGACTGACTGATTGGCAATCAACGCACAGCCCAAACGGTAAGAGCTAGGAAGCTGAAATTTGGACACAAGATCTCTCTCACAGTGAAAGTGAGCACTTTGGAAAATTCGAGCTCCAAGTGGTGGAAAACGGGCTCCAACGTTTGTATGAAAAATCTAAAATTTTCATCCGATTTACTTCAAACTTAGTTTATACTCTTATAAAGAATATAAGAAAAACTGTATACTTGGTTTTTCGCTATTTTTCCTGGGGCCAGAATTATAGGGATTTTCCCGTGGAAAAATCAGGACACGAAAAGCTATGTGCAATCAACGCACAGCCCAAACGGTAAGAGCTAGGAAGCTGAAATTTTGACATAAGATGTCTTTTATGGTGTTGATGAGCACTACTTCGAACTCCAAGTGGGGGAAAATAAGAACTTTTTCAAATGATAATTTTCTGCTATAAATTTTGTCTGATCGATTTCAAATTTGGGTAATGTAATCTACGTAACTAAATCTACCACTTTGCATTCAAGGATTTTCAAATTATAGAAATACTGTTCTCGCTTTACAAATGCAGGCAGAACAAACAACATAAAGTGCATTTCATATAGTTGGGGACAACTTAGTAAACATATATACACACACACACACAACATACAAGCAGCTGTTCGTGTAGTTGCGTGCAAACGATTGAAATAGCCAAAGCAAAATGTGAGACACTAATGTGTGAACGTATGTACACATGTCAAGAAATATTAATTAATTAAACAAAATTTAACATTTTCAAAAGTCATTTTTACGTGTTTAGTACATTTGGCATTAATTATTTATTATTTAAACGCATCGTGCATTATTTAATCAAAATTATAATTTTTTGGACCCCCTTTGGAAAACCTGCTTACGCCCTTGGCGGACTACACATACACGGTTCTCTACGTACGGTTAAAACAGTAAAGAGAAACAAAACGAAACCCATGGATGCATATTTACATATTTATGTATGCAAGGGTGTACAAAAAATGCCATATAAAGTCCACCACACTGAGTCTGAGTTGGATTTGTTGAAGTTTTTCATTGATCATATTTTAAATGCATCGTGCATTATTTAATCAAAATTTTAATTTTTTGGATCCCCCTTTGGTAAAAGCTGCCCTTGTATGTATGTACATACGTACATATGTATGTACATGTATGTACATTGGCAAGCTCTTATTCTTTCGTTCACATTTTTTAATTATTTACGCCTTTTTATTGCACAGGCAAAATGCCAAAAACTTACAGTTACCGTCGCTAGGCAACGACTGAGTAAGCGATAGTGTATGTACATATGTATGTACAAATGTATGTATATGATTTGTTCAAATTGATCTGAATAAATTATAAGATGTTATTATTTCAGGGTTCGTAAAATGTGCTCGCAACCCGTTCGGACCCGCGAGAAATTCTGCTGCGGGTTTCTTCGGGTCGCTGCCGACAGAGGCCGCGGGTACGATCGGGTCGTACATATGTACATATGTGTTAAATTTGTATGATGGTATGCTTGTGTGTATATATTTCAAGGCAAAATGTGCGCGAAGCATTTCATCCCTTATAGCCTCACTCAGCAGATTTGTCTGCGTTTGCATAGTGATACCTGATACTAGATTTCTGAATGAATGTCTTTCGATTTTTTTGGCTATAGGAAATAAAAAGATCATTTGCAAATAAATAAACTTGTTACTAAGATATTTTTACTATTCGAAAGAAATTTCGTTTATTAATTCCGCATTTAGTTATTAAAATTAATACACACAAGTTCGCGGGCCCGAACGGGTTTTGCCCGCATTTTACGAACCCTGTTATTCAGTTTTTTACAAGATTGAAACTGTTGAAGACGCATTACAACTTAAAAATAGTGAAATGGGCAAACTTACCAAATATTTAAATACTTCTTTGTTAGTGGAAAGCAGTAGTAGTAAAACTGTGACGTGCAAGATGTGCCAAAAATCTGTGATAAGTCGTGCCTATAATATAAAACGGCACTTTAAAGTGGTCCACAACACGGATCTGGACACAGTGGAAGAAGGGCGAATTGTTTATTTAAAGTTGACAAAGGGCGAATATTTGAAGCTAATCGCCAAATTAGTATTAGTCAAAGGTCTGCCTTTCAGGTGGTTCGATGACGAAGAGTGCTTCCAGCCTCTTTTGCAGCCGTGGATTGATGGATTTCGACTTACTCACAATTCCAGAAATGTTGTCACACTTGTGGAGGAAACAGCTGCTAAATTGTGCAATCTAATTGGTGAACGTATTAAGGGACGCATGCTGTGCTTAAAAATGGACATCGCATCTCGCAATGATCGGAGCATAATGGGCATAAATATCCAGTACATTCGCAATTTTTGTATTGAAGTGAATACGATAGGCGTGGTACAACTTGAAGGAAGACACACGGCGCAATATCTGGAATCGGAAGTCATGCGATTATTGCAAAAATTTTCAATTCCCATCGAGCGTGTCTACTCGATGACTACGGACAATGGCGCCAATGTAGTGAAGACCTCCCATTTACTCCAGGAGTATGATGCAACGCTGTTTTTTGACGAAGACATACATATGTATATGACAACTTCGAACAAATTGATGACCAATTGCGTTCAGTACTTACTTGTAGTGTGGTTCACTGTGCTGCCCACACTCTGCAGCTTGCTTCGTGGGACGTTATAAGGACGATTGAGCACGAGCTGGAAACTTGCCGCAAAGCCGTTAAAAAATTGCGGACCGAGCTTCGACGCTTAAATATAACGCTTCCGGTATTGGATAATGCAACGCATTGGAGCTCCACCTACAATATGATGAAAGGCCTTCAATCATGTAACAACCATGAGAATATTCAGCAGCATAATTTGAATTGGCAGTTTGTGGATGACTTTTGTGAGGCATTTCAACCATTGGCCGACTGCACACTTGTTTTACAAACAAAGCAAATGGTGTTTGGTGATTTTTACCGGGAGTGGTTATATTGTGAAGCGCGTTTAAAACTGATGTCGCGCAATACCTTAGCACAACATTTATATTCAGCAATGACCAGACGGAAGAAAACATTGCTGGAAAATGATGCATTTTTGGCTGCTATTTATATGGATCCGCGATTTAATTACAAAGGCTCGCTTTTTTTAACTGAAGAGCAAATACAAAAGGCCACGGTAAGTAATTACACCTGTTGTTATGATGCGCATCTCACTAAATGTGTTTATATTTGTTTGATTTCAGGAAAAATTGCGTACAATCTATCATATTCAAACAAATACTCAATGCCCTGAGCCGTTGGGAGACATAGGGCCGAGTACTTCGACAGCCAAGGAAAGCAAATATGACATCATTTTTGAGGAATCTTCATTAATTTTAGGACCTAGTCGTACTTCCACAGAACTGAAAATTCACAATCTTCAATTTGGTGAACGACTATGCCTCGAATATGATATATTGCTGCACTGGAAGTCTCTTCAATGTAGGGAACCCGAGCTGGCACAAATAGCGGAAATTGCGTTGGCTGTGCCAGCAACTCAGGTGTCAGTGGAGAGGGCTTTTAACGCGTTACCCCTTATTTTTACTAAATTAAGAAATAGACTAAGTCCAAATGTATTAAGCGATATTTTAATAGCGAAACTAAATGCGGAATTAATAAACGAAATTTCTTTCGAATAGTAAAAAATATTTTAGTAACAAGTTTATTTATTTGCAAATGATCTTTTTATTTCCTATAGCCAAAAAAATGGAAAGACATTCATTCAGAAATCTAGTATCAGGTATCACTATGCAAACGCAGACAAATCTGCTGAGTGAGGCTATAAGGGATGAAATGCTTCGCGCACATTTTGCCTTGAAATATATACACACAAGCATACCATCATACAAATTTAACACATATGTACATATGTACGACCCGATCGTACCCGCGGCCTCTGTCGGCAGCGACCCGAAAAAACCCGCAGCAGAATTTCTCGCGGGCCCGAACGGGTTGCGAGCACATTTTACGAACCCTGGAAAATACTACATTGGGGAGCAAAATCACTCGAAATCGAAAATTACGACGGTTAAAAGGGCTAATATCATTCAGTTATTCGAGTACTTTAGTAAGAAAATCGAATTTATTATTATACTTGTAAGTATGTATAGCAGCAATAAGTAAGCGTTGGAATTAATATACATAGTTCATAGATACTTCACGTCTTACACAGTTTGTCACACATCCTGCTATTTATTTTATACAAATTACATATAATAGAACAAAGAAACGCTATTACATCAAAACAAACCAACACCAAGAACTCAAAATGTTGCGCATACCAGGCATGCCCTTGCTACCGGGGACTCTTTTCCGCGATGTAAGTTGTCCAAATTGATTTTCTTATAATTTTTTTTCATCAGAGTGTTACTGCTACGCTGTAGGTTGGCAAGCATCACTATCCAAAGCCGCAATCGCTCCTTAATTACCAAGGATTGAGTATGTTAAATGATCGTCAGCAGATAGCGCAGGTTGATTCCAGCGGCGTTGTTGATATTAGCTGCCCCCCTGTTGGCGCCGCCTCTGTCTTTCCGCCGCGTACAGGACCTCGCATGCCAGCTTGGTTGGCGTATGATAAGAAAGTGTTGCGCTTTAGCGCTTATTTTAAGCAAACACTGCAGGAGGTCTATCACGCGCCTTATATTGTACGTAAGGTAAAGATCTATTACTTTTTAGAAGATGGCACGCTGGAAATTAGCGAGCCTAAAGTGGAGAATTCTGGTATAGTCCAGGGCTGTGTGGTGCACAGGCAGCGCGTTCCCAAAGCTCCACCATGCGACAACGAATTTATGTCCATGATCGATTTAAATGTGGACACAACTGTACAAATTTTCGATAGGCAGTATCATATCACTGACTGTGATCAGTTCACGCGCGAGTTTCTAAATCGTCGTGGAGTAGCAGTGCCGGATCCGGTTCCGGAACCTGAGTAAGCTTTAGCATGGAGTAGCTTTTAAAATCATTTATAATCGCTGATCCATTTGCAGAGACCCTTTTATGGCAGCGCGCAATCGTGTTATTGCCAAGACAAAAAGTAGCCGAGATCCAAAGCACGCCTTTGCACAGTTTTTGAAATACGATCGCCAGATCTTAAGATTTCAAGGCTACTGGGATGATCGAACTGAATTTGGCGATGTGCGTAAGCTTGAGTTGTGCTACTATCTTTCAGACGATACGGTGGAGATCAAGGAAGCACATATACGCAACTCAGGTCGCGATGGACCCACTGTATTCTTAAAGCGTGGACGCTTACCTCGGGTAAGTTGACAGTTTCCGATAATACCATTAGTTTGCTCTCATATTTTATTTACTCCTAAGGAATTCGACGGAATGCTGCTGCCCGGTCAAAACACACCAGTCACATTGCTGAATGTCCTGGGAACAAGCATGCGCAATGTGCGTTACTGCATTGATCCGCTTAACGTTGGCCACAAGGAGATCTATTATTACACCGAGCGAGATTTGCAGATTGGTGCAGTCATCAATGTGTACGGACGGGCCGTAGTCATTACCGATTTAGATCCATTCACACAACAGTACTATCGCGAACGTTTCGGCATTGAGGACTTCTCTCCCTTGCCAGTCCCAACACGGGAAGAAGATTGCATCGAAAACAATTCCGAAGATCAGGAGCTACCGCCTTACAATGGTTGGGGCTCCTACGAGGACTCAGTTGGCAACTGCATCTCAGTGGAGCCAAAGCCACCAACAAAGGATTTCAAAAAATTCATCCAACTAGATCGCTTTGTTCTGCGTTTCGGTGCCAAAATGCTGTCGACTATCAAAGAGAATTGTGATCGCATATTTGTGATCAGCTTTTACTTATCCGATGATACTATGCAAATTTTGGAAATTGCTGTGCGGAATTCAGGGTTTCTGGGTGGCGAATTTATGAAACGCACTCGGCTCGAGATTCCTGGACAAGAGCGTTTTTCATGCAAGCAACCTCAATACTACATGCCCTGGAACTTTTTTATTGGAGCCACCATGTCGTTGAAAGACTTTATTTTTCATATTGTATCGGCCGATGAATATACACTGCTGTACATGGAGCACCATCCGGACCAATTTCCGCATGCAAATATCGAAAATATAATGAATAAGGTTCGTAGGGCATTGGAGACGCGCATGGATGACTTCTTGGGTAGTTGTGTCCCCAGCTGCAGTGATCTGGAAAGCAAGCAGAACGTATTTGTGTCATATGAGAGTTTTAAGGGCGCCTTGATTGGCATAATGGGCGACACTATTAGCGACCATGAGATTATCTCATTGTGTCGCCACTTTTCGGCGGAGCAAGTGCCACCAGAAGCATGCAAACGTGAGAATGTGCGAGCAGCAGCCCATTTGGAACTGAAGCGCGCCTTGTGGAATGCACGAGAGGATTTAATGGAGCACTTCCACCACATCAATCCAACGAATAAGCCATTTTTGCCCGAATCGAAGGTGCGCTCCACCATACGTGGCTGCCGGCTGCCCTTCTCATTGGAGCTTATTGACAACATTTTGTCGATATTGAATCGCAACGAGTGCGGCGATATTGAAATATGTGATCTAATGAATTTCATCGATGTGTCCTGCGGCAAGGGCTGTGACATGCCTCCGGTGAACCTTGCTTTTGAGCTGTGCCCTAAAATACCGTTCCTAAACAAGGGTCGCATTGTAGACTTTGCATGTTTCCTGCGAAAATTGGGCTTGCCGATCGGTTCTTCGGATATGGTCGCAAGTAAGGCTAAAAAAGTTGGCGATGTAGAGGCAGGAGCACCTGCAACTTTTAACCCGGAGGAACATCACGCTCAACATGATGATCAATCGGATGCCGATCAGTAAAAATATTATGTTTTTCACTCATGGGCTGGGTGTAGAATTCCACATTCCATTATATGTACTTGTATGTAATAGTTGCTGTCTTTAACAAAATTTGAGTGTGTAAGCTTACGGCGATAATATTTGAGGTCTAATTTCGCAATTTTAAATACCTATATCCAACCCCACCCCCATATCTTCAATCATTTATTGTGTTGAAATTGTTAGTGTCACTTGTAAGTTGTCATGATACAACAACGAGTTTGCATAAACCACTATTTGTTCACGGAAGCTACCTTGTAAATAAACAATTTTAATAAGAGTGCACATTCTTTTTATCATAATATAAGTCAAAACCGAAGCTACCCAAGCAAAATTGATCTGCCCAGGGACTGGAATCATTATAAGTGTTATTATAAAAATTACGAAATAATGATTCTTTTTAAACTCTATTCATTCTCTCACAATATAATGAATTCGTGGGGAAAGGGGAAAATTACAACTTGAGTTTTGTTTTTGATCAAAAAAATAAAACTTAAAAAACAATTATTATTTATTGAGTTTTATTTTTTTCTTAAAAATAATCGATTCGCCACGAAACTTCACAGGATTACCCACGGAACTATTTTGAATATTGCCATATAACTTTATCAAAATCAGTTGAGCGGTTTCAAAGTCTATAGGGAGTATACATACATACCTCAATTTATATATATATATATATAGATAGATAGATTACACAATTTAAACAGAAAACAAGAGAGAACGCTACAGTCGAGCAAGCCCGACAGTGAAATATCCTGTACCCAGGTAAACTTCCGTCACTGAGTTATATGCGCCCACAACAGCAGATAAAAGAGGAAGAGCGAACTTGTTGCTGCAGTTTGTGGGGGTTGTACTGGAGAGAATTTGTTTCGCAAATAACTTTTCTTAGAATTGACCGAATTGAATACAATTTTAAACAACAGTAGATAATTATATATAAATATAAATTGTGCAATGTTTGGTTTAGGTAGCATTTGAAATGTGGACGCTATTGACGAAATTCCAATCCAAAAAATCAAATAAACTCGTCCTTTCTCGGACCTAGGAGAATGTGGATACCAACTTTGGTTATTCTAGCTTTTATAGTTTATGAGATCCTTGCGTTCATCCAGACAGACGGACAGACAGACAGACGTCATGCTGATTCAGAATATATATACTTTATGGGGTCGGAGATGCTTCCTTCTGCATGTCACATACTTTGCACAAACCTAATATACCCTTTTTAGCCTACGGGTACAGGGTATAACAAGCGTGGTCGTAACACAGCTAAGAAAAATAATTATTGATTGTCAGATGAAATACATTCTTAACAAATTTAATTCGATGATAATTAATTGTTAAACTAAATGCAACAAATAATACTTAAAAGAATCTTAAAATATTGTAAGTTTTTATCAGTTTAGACATACAGCTTTATCGTGGCAGTTGCATTAACTCGAATTCATCCGCCACTTCCTCGCGTTCGCTAGTGTCGTGGGGCATCGCATAGAATAGCTTATTCCAAAAATTGGGGTCGTTGCTTTTCAAATAGGTCGTAAATATAAGGTAATCGTTTATCTCACGGCCGAGCGGCTTGGTGTTTTCAACATCCGGATACATTATTACAATGAGGCGCATAGTTTTATCTTTGGAGGTTGCTTTAATCGCCGTGAGAAGTTCAAAGCGGGCCCAGTCCGATTTTAAAAAATTGTTTGTCATCAGGATGATAGTGCGTTTTGAGATTTCCACTGAATGCAAAATGAGGTCAGAAATCACTTCACCCACAGGCCAGTTACGCTCGTAGAAGAGAAGACGCCACTTTGGTGATCCCTTCTCCAGCCTATCCACGAATTCGGGGATGAGTTTTGAGTCGGCGCTAGAGTAGGCCAGAAATGCATCATACTTCTTCTCTGAGTCGAATTTCTTGTGCTGACGTGAAAGGCCATGGCAGATATTGTGTTCGTACATCCAGAAAAGAATACCCCTCTTGTAGTATATAGCGAAAGCTGCTAGGGTGGTCACAAGGAGAAGAGTTCCGAGGACTATAATGGCTATTGTTGAACCGGACACACAAATATCGTCAACGTTGACATCGATTAAGGGCCCCAGATCTCGGTTTCTGCAATATACTTGGCTCAAGTCTACATTCTGCGATAGAACTTGGATGAAGTTCAAGAATTTTTTCGCGTAACAATCACAGTTCCAGGCGTTGTTTGATAGGTTTATTTGTGTATCGGAATGTGTTAGAATAAAATTTTGCGTACCTTCACCTAAAGTTTGAAGCTTATTGTTACTGAGATCGAAGTATTTAAATTTTTCCAAACGTTTTTCTTGAACGATGTTGATACTTTTCAAGTAATTGTCTCTTAAATTCAGATGCTCCAATTTCAATGGTAATTGCTTAATGTCGAGTGCTCTTAAGTAATTGTTGGATATATCCAAATATAACAAGTTTGGTGGTAGCTGTTCGATTTTCAATTTTGTCAGCTGATTGTGGCTTATATCCAGATAAACAGTATTATTTGGAAAATCGTCAATTCTCAGATATGACAGATTTCTATAGCTACAATCGATCCACATTTGAGATGGATGGTACTGATTAAGCCAGCATTTACAGGACTCTCTACAAATTGTAAAATCGGTTTCCAATGTAAGCACGCACCCTAACAATGCTCTACACTGTAATGTTCTACATTTGGTTTCATGGCATCTAACTGTTATTTTTTTTAAATTACGGAACGTCCTGAATCTGCTCACTGTAAGATGCGTACGGTTTGTTTGCAGTGCGATTTCTTCCAAATTATTTTGTAGAGTTCGACTTCTGTAACACAATATACTCATATGTACACACATATATTATTTTCGAAATTGTGGTTAATTCATAAATACCTTAATATTAAATCCAAAGAGCCAACATCATTTAATTCCAGTGATTTCAAATTGATCAAATATCGGAAATGTTCATCAGTAAGATTGTCTATATTACCTAAAACCAAGGTAGTCAGATTTTGTTGGGCTCTGAAAATAGTGCTGGGAAACGACACATTTTGTATGCCACTGAACTTAAACGTTTCCAAGCCTGGTACTCCCATTAAGAAGTCTCGGTCCACGTCGTAAACTGCTTCATTTGGAATAGGTCTTGAATAAGGTTTTATTCCTATGCGTAAGCTTCGCAACTCACTCATATTTTTATTAAAATTCAATTTTGTACAGGCGTCGCTAAACTCGATAGTATTCAGAACGTAGTCCATAGAATCCAATTGTTTTAAGCCAACCACATCATCAATTGTTAATAAACAACCATCAGTTTCCCACTTTATACTGAGAACGTTCGGAAAATGACGCGTAAAAAATGTGGTGGGAATCGTCCGAATACCGAAGGTCCATAAAAAAACGGATGATATTTCACTGTAGTTTGTGAGCACCTCATTCGATAGACTTTCAAAATCAGATTGATCGTTTTTCCCAGAAAGGTGTATATCTAGCTTACTGTTTTGAATTGGTTTTCCACTTATTTCAGTAATGTCAAATTCTATGCTTTTTTTTGTAAAGAAGATCAACAATTTACTGATATCGCTTATACCAAGATAGTCCAAATATCGAGCGCTCGGCCAGTATATGGATTCGCAATTTATGTGTACGGAGTTTAACCTTTTATCGATCACATTGTCCGAGAGCTTTAACAAGTTAATTTTTTCGGTGCTTTGGTTTAAACAATTCAATTTCAAGCCCTTGTCAAAAATGGTTATTTCAAAGTTATCTGTTCTTAATATTTCTCTTCCATATTTAAACTCCAGCTTGCACGAACTGTTTTTAAAGGACTTCAAGTAGTCCTCGCAGTAATTGTGTCTGATTATCCTTTCCATTGTTGTGATTACCAAAAAGGTACAAATTAGAAATAAAATTTTCCTTGTAGCCACAGCAGCCAAAATTTAACTAAACACTTGCGCGTCAAGTGCAGTCCAAATTGTGTTCGGCACAAGCTCGCGATCCTATCCCTAAGGAGCAATAGATTTCCCTCGATTCTCTTAGGCAATACATATACATATGTATATGGACTTACGAGTATATCTATGGGCAAGGGCGTACGCAGATTTTTATAAAGGGGGATAGCTGGGCCACTTTTTATACCCTGTACCCGTAGGCTAACAAGAGAGAACGCTACAGTCGAGCAAGCCCGACAGTGTAATACCCTGTACCCAGGTAAACTTCCGTCACTGAGTTATATGCGCCCATAGCACCAACAAAAAGAGGAAGAAGAAGAGCGAACTTGTTGCTGCAGTTTGTGGGGGTTGTACTGGCGAGAATTTGTTTCGCTAATAACTTTTCTTAGACAATTATATATGAATTATGTGTGCAAAGTTTGGTTTAGGTAGCATTTGAAATGTGGACGCTATTGACGAAATTCTGTAGCAGGGGAAGGGGGGGAAAATTAAAAAAAAAAAAAAACTCGTCGTTACTCGGACCTAGGAGAATCCTGTTTACCCTACGGGTACAGGGTATAAAAAGGGTATATTAGGTTTGTGCAAAGTATGTAACATACAGAAGGAAGCATCTCCGACCCCATAAAGTATATATATTCTTGATCAGCATGACGAGAGAAATCGATCTAGACATGTCCGTCCGTCTGTCCGTCTGTCCGTCCGTCTGTCCGTCTGTCCGTCCGTCTGTCCGTCCGTCTGGATGAACGCGAGGATCTCAGAAACTATAAAAGCTAGAATAACCAAAGTTGACATCCAGATTCTCCTAGATCCGAGTAAGGACGAGATTATTTTTTTTTTTTTTAATTTTCTCCCCCTTCCCCCGCTGCAAAATTTCGTCAATAGCGTCCACATTTCAAATGCTACCTAAACCAAACTTTGCACACATAATTTATAAATAAATATCTACTGTTGTTTAAAATTTTATTCAATTCTAAGAAAAGTTATTAGCGAAACAAATTCTCGCCAGTACAACCCCCACAAACTGCAGCAACAAGTTCGCTCTTCTTCTTACTCTTTTTGCTGCTGCTTTGGGCGCATATAACTCAGTGACGGAAGTTTACCTGGGTACAGGGTATTACACTGTCGGGCTTGCTCGACTGTAGCGTTCTCTCTTGTTTCCAATTTCTTTAGTAATTCAAATATGTGCATTAAGAAATGCGAAATAAAATTATGAAATTTCTTGGAATTTTAGTAAACTTACCCACGACGTTTCTAATTCCGCATTTTTATCGGCGACTAACTTTATTCACATTGCTTAATGTACTTACACTGCTGGTCTTAGGTTAGATGCACCAACTTTTTATACTCTGTACATAAAATGTACAAGAGTATATTAGGTTTGCGGGAGCTGAAAATGTAACAGGCAGAAGCAGGCGTGGCAGACCACACAAAGTATATACATATATTCTTGATCAGCGTGACAAGACGAGTCGATCTAGCCCTGTCTGTCTGTCTGTCCGTTCGTATGAACACCTGGATCGCAAGGACTATAAGAGCTAAAGGCACAACATTTTGCACAAAGATGCCTTAAGTGAATACGAAAATAATGCGTATTTTTAAATTTCCTTCCGCCCCCTCTCTACCGCAGTTAGCGATTTCCCATACCTCCCGTATTTCTTACAATATTTCATTGATATTCAAAAAATACCTCCAGTTAGTGAATATGAGCCCGTATGCCAAGTTTCATTATGATAGGCCGATTCAACAGGAAGGTTTAGCCATATATGTACACATGTATGTATGACCAAGCAGTGCCCGCAGCTGTTGTTGTTGCTGCTTTGCACAGGCACACGAGACATATACAGACACACACAAACACGCATAGACATGCATAATTATTCTACACATATGCACAGAGTCGGAACACCCGACTTTAGCTTCTTTAGCACTTGTTATTTATTGTTAAACGCATACGCTGCCTGTGTAAAAAACGAATAATGTCAAAGTTGAGTGTTCTCTGTTTAACATTTTAATCCAAATATTGAAAATTTATTTAATATTTTTGTCATAGTGCTTTTGTAACCAGCGTTTCTTTTATTGCAGAGATTCTAAGTTCTACTTCCATAATCAACTAATTGTTTCGTTTTATTTCGAATTAATTTGCATATTTATGTCTTGTAATTGAAATTTCTATTACATATTCCCATGGATTTCATTATTACTGCCTTGCTGACAAATTTTTCAATTTATAATGTGAAGTTAAAATTACATGCACACGAATCATATGTATATGTATTATGTTTCTCAGCAAATTACAAACAAACAAAAAAAAAAACAATTTACATTATTTTCCTATACAGATTGTAAACAAGTTGTGTTATATATTAGGTTTTTTTTTCAACTACTTATCTCTATTTTCATTATATAGAGCAACAAAATTGCAAGTACGATATAATATGAATAAAGCAGATCAGATGATCTAGTCTACAAGCGAATTCGTTTTTCAATGCAAGATGTGATTTCAACTTCATATTAAACATGCCCTTTCCAAATGTACATACACTATCAAAAAATGTGTCAAATGGCATTTTTGATAGCCATACAATAATGTTGCAGCAGATAGGGAAAACAGAGAAGTACTTATGTAACTATATACATACATATCCGTGTTTCCAATTGTAAGAAATTGACATTATATTGTACATTTTCTTATTTTATATTTTCTTATTGTAATTGAATATACGAGTACGTATTTTCATATATAGGCCAATATATGTGCGAATTTTATAAATAGTATCTCTAATGTTCGTCAACAAATATTTAATATTAAATATTGAAAATCTTCGGAATATTTTAGTTCTTCACATAGTTATTGTGTTTGGTAGTAAAGGAATGAAATATGATTTATTTGGATAATTATTCTTTACTTGCACATTTTTTAACACACACATACGAGTGTAGAGCATGTCTATTTTCTCATGTACATGTTATTTTCTGTAGAGGATAGCTACGGCTTGCATCCGTTGACTTAGCTTCGGACGAAAGACTGCATTTCTAAAATAACATGGAAAACCTTTTGTTTTATAATACATGCAGATTGCCCTTAATACGAAACAAATAAACAGCATATGGAACACGCCATAATTATATAGATATCTTCGTGAATCCACCCTTTCATCTACTAAGTGTATGTTGTTTTGAAAACAAGCAATAATTATTATATCGCGTAAAGAATTGTTCGATTCATCTAAGATTTGTATGCCAGATACTGCAGTTTTGCCAACGCAGATATGGCCGTCGCAGCCAGCATGCAACGCCAATGCCAATAACTGTAATGTTACAATAATAGACATCTTTGCGATTTCTGTATATATCTATCTCTTTCAACCAGATTTACATCTCATACCAAAATGATGCTGGTGTGAAGTAAACCTGAATTAAATCATGAGTGAGATTCGAAGGGCATTGCTTAAGGTACGTAACATTCAATTATTTACTTCAACAAGAAAAAGGTAATTATGTCAACATGGTATTTTATATTAATGATTAATCCCCGTTTTTATTAAAAGGAATTAACAATGAACATCGGGTTTCTGCGAGTATATAAATTATTGCCTCTTAAGAATTATTTGATTCAATATTTCTGTGCTGCATACGTTTTACAATTGATCATTAACACTCGTACTATTTTCACTATTCATTTTTTTTATTAATTGGCGACTACGTTATTTTATTTCGGACTGATATTAAGTATGTACGATAGTTATCTATGTGTACATGTAGTTTATAGTTTCTTAATGAATATAATATTGTTTATTAAGTGAGCTTTTAATGTGGAAAAATCATCCAGACGACGTCCATAAAGTTTGCGATCTTGAATAACATTAAGGAATTTTGAATTTTCTTTTATTATTTTCCATTACATGTTTTAATTTATAATTCGCATATTGTAAGGATAATCTGAGTATACACTAATATATGTATGCATAGAATTAGAGCTATTATAAATTATTAAATATGCATAGTTAAAAAATATAGTTTTTATAAAACGTAGGCATTATATAGTGTGTGTATATGTATATAAATTTTTGAATAATCAATATGTGATAATAAATATGTGTAATAAACTTTTATTTGCTCTTTATCGGCATAAGTGTTAAACATTTATTTTTCATAATTTCTGGGCGTGTGTACGCAGCAAGCTCAAAGCCAGTGCTGGCGCTTTTGGTCGGTGCTTTAGTTTTAGAGTTTTATATCAGCGGTGGCACGAGTGCCGCTTTCGGCTTCCATTGCTCTCAACGATATATTTTGATAAGTGGCGCCAGATGCAAAAACAAAATACACGCAGTGTGTGTGTCGTTGCTCGACTCTACTCATGGCCCTAACGATGGTTTTTGTTATTGTACTCCCGATTAAAAATTCCGTGCCCACCGCTGTTTTATGTCACGACCGTACACATTGTAATATAATTCACATGTATGTACATCAAGCGAGTAACTATGTATGCATGGACTTACTAAAATTATAGTACGTAGTTATGAATACAAATATATGGTATGCTCACACATACGTACACATGTCTATAGCCGATTTCATGCGTTAATGAGTGTTGATGCGACGTCCTTGCATACAAAATCCATGGGTCACAAAAAAACTAAACCTATAAATGTATAATAGGCGCATTATGGAAACCGATCGATCAATAAACATACGTAAGGATGTATGTCGACAAACATGCCTACAAACTACGTAACCAGTGGTCCAGTCCATACATACACGTAACTGAAATACATGCGCCCATATGTACATACATATGCATACATAAATAATCAGTATACACCGGCTAGTAGCACAAACACCATTGCCGATACGGTGTTCGTAAAATGCTGCACATTAACCCAGTTTTGGGTTAATATTCATGTTATCTATTTGAATATTCGTATGTATTTATATGTAGTTAATAAACTAACAATTGCACATAATTGCAACTATGTCAACAAGGTAAATAAACAATAAAACCCCTTAATAAAGAAGATATTTTATAGCCACGGGATTACAGCTTGGCTAGAATTCTTCAGTTTTTTTTCTTTTAACAACAGCAAAACATTAACATGTGGAATACCTATTAACAGAAGGCTGCTGAAGATTCTTCTAATCTTCCTTTGACAGACTGCCTAAGTCACTTAAAAATATTTCAGGTGTAAGCACATGCGACGAGCCCACAATGACCTCCCAGTTTCGCACAGAGTTGGTGACCTCGTAGGCGCAACGCATTTCAGACATGCTGACACCTCCCACAATAAACACAATTAAGCGCGGCACATTCTTGACCTGTGTCTGTGCTTTATCCTTGTGCCAGTGGCCATAGCGTGCGCTTGTCGGTGCATGATAATTGGTATTTTGGGCACGACCCTCAAGGAATGGAAAATGTCGCTGATCCAACTTATCCTCAATGCAATCCTCCATTATATCCTTAATTACGGGTGTCCAGCGCGACATTTGGTATGTGCTCTCGGTGATGCGTTCTTTGCGTGGAACCGTGTAGACTTTCTTGCGCGACTACATAAAAAAAGAGAATATAGAGGAGACATGAATTTCATTTTCTCATTCGATGAAACAAACACCCATCCTTACTTAATTATACTTCCATTTATGGCAAAACTAGGTACAATATATACATAGGTAATAAATAAAAAAAAGGGCTACTCACATCGGCTATGACATTAATGCCCAAAAAGCTCAGATTTCGCACCATATCCTGGTCCTTTGGCGACAATTGGGCATGGGTAAAGAGCTTGGTCAAGTTCTCCTCTGATATACCATTCTTGATCATAACATACAATGCAATGATCCGCACCTTATCATAGTTTGACACATTCTGCAAAGATATGCATAAATGTAGTTTCCAATCACTGGCCCCCATTCACCATTCACTTACCGTATCCAACAAAATGGGCACAATGTTGCGCATATGATCCTTGATTTTTTCGCCCTCAGCATCGGTGCCCATAGCCAAATCCTGCTCCACACGGCATAGCTTGTCGACATAATTCTGATAGGATTTCATGCAATCCTCAGCTAAATGCAAATGAGTGGAATATTTGGATAGCTCTTTCTGGTACTGCGGCATCTTCTTGATCATCTGCGACAAGTCGCGCATTGAAGACTTATCGGCTGCAACAATCAATATCATATTAATAACGGGAATGAACTAAAACTACAAGTTATTCTCGAATGTTTAAAGCAACTCAGTGACATCAACTCCTTAGTCTGAATGCGCATTGGGAGTACCAGCCAACCTACACTTTTCGAGACTTAGATTAGATGTCAACATTAAAAAGAGAACTCGGTAAATATTAGTCCTTGTGCTACTTTTTCTTAACATTATTGTCAAGTTTAGGAAACTTAGTTGAACAAAGAGTTTTGAGATATTTTCTCCTTCATAAAGCTCACGTTCTGCTCTTGCGTATGAAACGATCACGTTTTAGAAATGTCTTTGTAGAAATACTTTTTATTTATACAGAAAGCAGAATTTGGTATTGGTCAGTCAGTTAATGTAACCTATCATGTCATAGCTGCCATTGAAATAATCAGGACAACAAATAATGTTTTCCAATTCACAGTAAAATTACTGATAAAGGTAAGTTGGTCTAAACAGATCCATCTGTCTAACTACACAAAGGTTTAAATTTCGGAAGGGATACAAGGTATAACCCTATTGAAAAATATTGTCCATAATTGGATAATTCCTATCAGTTATGTTCTTTTGGAACTCCCGGAATAACCCCAAAGCTTAAAGAGCTTAACTTACTGGAACTCATGCGCTTGGAATCCGTAAACTTCTTTAGATTCTGCGTAACCTGTGTGGAGACAACTGCAATATGCTCATGGCGGAGCTCCACCCACAAATCGTCGTTTTCATCGAGCAAGACTTCCTTGTCAGGCTGATTAGGACCCGGACAATAGCGGTAGACATCATTGACAATGGGCAGCAGATCATAGGCCATTGCCTGAAGCGTTAGCTCGTGCAAAAGTGGCGAAACACAATCAAAGCCACGATCCAAAACTAGTAGCTGAGATCGTGCTTTCTCCGGGCCTTCCCCCATTGTTGGCTCGTCGGCCTTATAAGCATCCAGTTTTTGCTGCACCGAAGCAGCCAAATCAATATTCCTATCCCAATCGCTGCGATAACGCACATTGGGGTACTCGCCCAGTGTTGCGCACAGCGTGGCGATTTGCTCGGCTATGCGTTCGATGTGCTTGCTGCGTATGGAAGCAAACGCCGGCGAATAGAGGCATTGAAATGTATCAGGCGAATCCAAAGAAAAGACCTAAATGAGTTTATGTAGCAAAAAAGTTGTCTTTTAGTGATGTGGCTGAGTGGGCGACTGTTGAGATAATGCAAATCTAGTATGGATCAAATGCGTTTGTTAGTGATATACATATAGGTGAAAAATTATTTATAAGAAACAGTTAGCGACAGGAAATATTGAACAGCCCAGCAAGCAAAAGAAATGTTTTATTAAGCGTTGAAAATATTATTTTTCTTAACCGTTGTGTGCAATACAATTGGTCAGTCTGGCGTATTCGGCATTTAAGGACCTTTAATAACATACATTCGAATTATAGTGTATTAATTGACTGGTCCGTATTTCAAGATTATTATTTTAGGCGTACCCTACTGTGATATAAGCAGCCATATATTATTTTAAATGTGTAATAGAAGCATCCAAATAGCATACATGACTGCTTCTATTGCGTGCACTTTTGTAGATTGTGATGTTTACTCACAGCGGGATTTACGAAAATTCAACACAGAACGATCAGGACATTAATTATAAGTAACTCCGCCACCACTGGCTTAAGTAGGAAACGGATAAGTTGTATTAAAATGTAGACTTTTTAAGATTTGGCTTCGTTCCTTTGTATTTATTACATAAAGTGCGATATTTTTCCAAATATACCATACTACGTACGCACAAAAAAACGAAATTGCTGAACAAAAAACAATTTAAGAACCTCTGAACTACGCTCAGGAATTTACATTACATTTCATTACATATACATTTTATTTACTTGCTTGCTGTGCTGTTCAAAGTAGATTGTTCAGATGTAACACATATGCTGTACATAGTTTAAAGGCGAACATGGGAACACCAAACACCAGCATGCATAGCTAGTAGCTAGACATGCTTCGCACTTTATCAGTATTTCTGGAGACTCTGTGTTCGCATGGTATATGTATTTTAATATTCCACTTACAAATACACTTACAAGCACGGACGTGTTCACAAAATGATGAGTATTTTACTTAAACTTGTTATGATCTTGAGTCATACTCTCTGATTGACAATTTTAAAGGTAACGTAAAGCATAAACATGCTTGACCACTATGTGCTGGGCTCAGCGAATAAGCCTTTTATAATAATCGATGGCTCAAGTTCACATCATATACTTATGTACACATATTCTGTATTATTTTATTTACATTTGTATGGTCTTGTTTATCGCTAATGGCCTTATGACACTATATTAAAAACTAAACTTGTAGATTAAATCGGAGTTTTACATCTATCCAGTAGACGGAACTTTTCTAAAATGTTAGCTGATGCAAGCTAGACGCGAATAGCACCTGGTGGCAGATCCAACTGGCTAAAAAGTGATTGTCAGCAGAGCAGTCCATTAATTGCACTTCAAAAATAATATTTCTGCACTAAAAAAAACTAACCATTTTATCTAAGTATATTTCTCGCTCGCACTAACAATCTTTTTTTTATCAATCACGCAAAGTTTGTGGTCTACTTTTTATTATGGTGTCATAAGGCCATAAGACATAGCTGGGCACGATTTGCTCTTCTGTATACAATTTACATACATTAAATTGAACACTACAAAATAAGTTTTACAAAACTTAAGGAGATTTCACGTGCTGCATCTTTGTGACAGATGAGAGGACGATATTCATCTTCTTGTCTGCCCATAAAATGCAACAGCGAGAACAGTCAGTGTTAGGCGTTAAGTTAAGGTCATAGCCAGAGCGAGACCGAAAAGATTATGTTAGTTGATATGTTTATACATACATGTGCGCATACATTTGAATATATTGATTTGTTTATAACAGACATACATATATACAAATGTATGCGATGCACAGGGTATTTTATAAGTTTTAAATGTTTGCCAAACTTTGTAACGTCTGGCAATTTTGCATTAAAAAAGTTATTTGTGCTGGGGTTGGTTATCTTGCCATTTCGCCAACTTCTAATGAAACAAATCTTCATATACAAACACAAAACACTTGAAAATGGGTTTTAGGCACGAGGACTGAGCACAAGCGGAAAAAGATAGGCAAGAGATATACATACATATAACAACAACAACATACGCCAACATACATCCCTTTCGCAAAATATGCATTTATGTATACATATGTATATGTACATAGATGTAAAGACATAGACACATATTTTTAAAAAGAGAAAGAAATTGGGCATGTTGTACTTTGTTGAGGCATAGTATTAGAGAATTCAACAAGAGTTTTGAGTGTTTCGAATTTGTTTCGTTTTGCTTTGGCTAAAATTACATTTGTTTACTGTTTATGGTTGCATTGCAACTTTAAGCGCACCTGACATTCATATGGTAGAAATGCAATATTAATCTCCTTTAGAGTTTTGATCTTTCTTGCAGCGCACGATTTACACAAATCGTTAAACAATTCCTCCGGGCAAACTATAATTGTAATTATGTATTAAAATTATACGCTTATACAATAATTGGTATCATATTTGACGTTATGACGAGCACAACAGATTTAAATTAAAAACAATACAAGTAATAATAACAATAACTACCACAATGTAATATCTTTAGGAATTCAGCATGATCTAGTATATACATTAGGCTGCACACTTTCCTCATGTATTACAATCCCAAAACCTTTTATTTAAAAACAACATGTCAGTATTAAGTAAGCAGTAAGCAGCTCACGAAAAAACAAAGCTCTCACAGAAAGAAAGATGACGAAATCGCAATAATGAAGGTCGGGATTGTTAGAAGCACCACATAATGGGAATTATTGAATATATACAAATGAATGTGTTTATTTGAAAGGCAGAGCTCTGTTAGTTGAGTTAACTTTTGCTGAAACGCTATGCACACATTAAATCCCATACTGAATGACTTGTCGAATTGAAAGAGTTCGGTAGAGTTCGGGTTGACAGACATTTTAAAAATATTAGACACAGAATATTAGATTATTTGTATGAAGTGGGCGGCGTGCCATTATGGACACACTTTTATTTGCATACGATTGGAGCATATAACGATTTACTTGTTACTTGGTACCTGCGCTTCATAGGCCAAAAAGGCTATATTAATCTCTTTGCAGCTGCGAATATAACGACGGCAGATGTCTTTGTGCGACTGTAGCATGTCGAATATTTTGGGCGGAATTGCTATAGATAGGTTTGCGTGTGTGCAAATATCGAGGATAACGGGTTGGTACATACAAAAAATTATATAAAAAAAGAATAAACGTTTAGATTTGGCTTTGCCAACTCTGTAATACCCTTCACAATGTTTCTTATCGTAGAACCTAGTTTTAATGCATTTTGTTACACAAAATTTAGTGAGAGCACGAAATATTATACCCCGAATAAAGAATGAAATATTTATGTTTTTCATTTTAAAGCAATTTCTTCGCGCTTGTCGGCCCAACCTTTTTAATAAAAACAAATGTTTACAAAATATCGCGTTCGAATCTTTTGCCACCGCACAAAATACAATGATATGTTACCGTTATTTTAATAACTGACGGAAGGATTAACGTAGACAGACGGACACGGGCAGATCGATTCAGCTTTTCATTTTGTTGATAAATATATCTATACCGCATCGAAAATGATTCTTTTCTGCGTTAGAAACTATGACGACGAGAGCAATTAACCGCCTTGTGAAGAGTAATAAAGAAAGAAAGAGCTGTAAGTCTATAAATAAGAAGTTCGTTCTTTATTTGACACTCCAGCCACTTGACAACATACCCTCGGTGAAGAAGACATGAGCATAACGGTACATGGGTCGTGCAGGATTTTCAAAATCACGTATTAGGGAGCGCACAGACTCGTCAGATGGTGTTATTAAATAGATAGCATCCATTGTAGGCAATGGTTCGCGCTTCTTGTTAATATGTTCGACCACTATCAGGAGAAAAATCCAAAGTTTTAAAAATATGTTATGTACATTTACATTTATTTACTTACATGTAATGCCCTCGGCGCTAATTTCATGCATTTTGGTGCACGCGGAGACCATCCGCATGCCCAGCTTATCGACGACTAGTACACGCCATTCAATGCCGCCAGGAGCGGCTTTAGCAGCAGCACCAGCAGCCTTTTTCGGTGGCGGTGGCTTGTACTTAACCACTTCGTTCATGATTTCTATAACGAGTAGAAAGGTAATGTCAACGTTTAAGAGTTTTATGTAGGTTTTTGGCATGGTAGACAACACAAATTGATAAACATCGGACATGTTCGCACGACAACCATAAAACATTGAAATATAGCCTCAGAAATGACAAGATTGTTCTATTTGTTCACCGCCAACACGCCTCTGATTTTTAAAATTAAAAAAAAAAAAAATGTCTATAATTTAAAAACCAGCTTGTTCTTTGAGCATTGTTGAAGTAATAAATGAAAACAATCATTTTTGCACACATATTATTTTGTCCATGAGTGCACATATGGTCTCAAAGCAGAAATTAAGTATACGTTTTTTAACATGGTCGGTTAATATTCCTATGGTATCTATGAGATACACATGTATATGTGTAAGACAGAATCTGTGACTGTAGGAAGTTTCACGAATACACGAAAATCGTTCATGTCCCCTAAAATTGGGTCTGCCCTGACTCATTCTAAGATTATATGAGTAAACGCAATGAACCTATTGCAATGATATACAAGGTATAGGGCAGCAATGAAAAAAACAATAACTTGTCCATTTCTGGGAGTAAGGAGAATTCCAGAATTCTTTGCGTCTAGTTATGTGGATCAATCTCTACAATGCAGATACTATATACATATTAAGTGAGGTCTGTAACGCCTCTTTTTAGGGGAAGCAATCTAGTATACCCTTTTCAATTTTGGGTACAGTATAGAAAGACGCTGTAATACCATTGAGTAAGTCCACAGCTAAAGCATCGAAATTTACTCTGAAATGCACCGACTGGGTAATCATGTTTATATACATATGAAGTTATTGTGCTGAAAAAGCCCATTTAGCGAAATTTTTCTACAAACTGGTTATGAATAAATATCTGGAGGCGGGGGCGTCTAGTGCGCAAAATCCGACTCACAAAGAACACAATAAATGTTAAGTCTGCAACGAGAACGCTACGCATTTAAGCGGGGTTGTGTTGGGAGGGCCAGCAGTTCGCCTACCCAGTTTAATTAGAAAAATCGATAGCACGAAACGGTGCATACAAACGTATCTATATATATATGTACATATGTACATATTCACGGTATATTTGTTACATATAGTCTGTGCGTCATTCGGTAACTTAAAAATTGCACTTACTTTGTCCCACTAACACTTTTAACGCCATTTTCGCTTATTTGTTGTTTTTTGTAGTTGCTGAGGTGATGATTCAACTATTATTCTTTACGACATTAATGCACAGCAAACCGATCTTAGGGCAACTGCACCTTTATTGATCTACGTCCGCCCGTTCAACACACGACACAATCAAATTAAGAAGCCAAACGATGGCAAAAACACAGTTTTATATTTTTAAATCAAGTATGTAAGTGCTTAACAAATATTTCGCCACAGCCACAACTTGAAGTCTGACAAATTTATACTAGATATGACTGCAATAGGGATGAGCAAATTTTTCGTATCTGTTACTTTGTCACGACTATTTCTTGGTGATAATGTCACAATAACAGATTCAATTTGATCACATATTTATGGTTTATTTATGAATTTCTCTCGATAACATATGACACGATATGAACCTTATAAAAACAACTTGATGATAAAATCAAAATATAAAGCAAGAATAAAATTAGTGTGGGCTTATAAGCAATGTTTCCAATTCGTTCATGTTTGAACCGGCCGCATAGTTGAACGCATTTGAATAATTTGTTTCGATTACTTATGTACATATAATAACTGTCTTCTTGATAAGCGAAAGGGTTTAGAATACATACTTAATTTGTTTACCACCGTTTAGGCCTGTACATTAAAATAAACTTAAAATGCCTAAAATACCGATAGTCTTAAAACAAACAACCAAATGTACTTAATGGTAAATTGCAATTATCGATAGTAATATTTTTAGTATTATTTAATCTCAACTATCGATTTTATTAATTTTAAATTAGTAATAATTAATACCATTGCAATAGTAACTGTATTTTTTGCCCTAGCTCTGCCACCAGCTGTTATTCTTTCTGCCTTGGCTCAACTCTGTACTGCACGCATACGCACGCACAGGCACAAGGACAATGTTAAAAAATGCCTTCCACTTCTTTAAAAATAAGTATTGACTGTTTTGTTTATTTATATTTATTACATTATGGGCCTAAAAAGTGCTATGAAGAGAACGTAAAAACTTTGGCATGTAAAGAATAAAAATCGGGGAACAAATTAAATTAAATTTCCTAGAGGGGCTAGGGCCCTTTCAGAGTATCCTACATAATCCTGAGTTAAGTTTTGGCAGGCCAGACACTTAAAAAATGTATTATAATATAAAATATAGTCTTGCCTTAAGTCGCTGATAGATCAGTCTTACCTTTGGGGTGCCCAATACGAATTACATCACACTCTGTCATGCACCGACCATCCACTCAGGCGAGAAGGAGCAATCACAAGGATTCTGTGAGCTCAGGTGATGCAATGGGGGTAAGTTTTCTACCCACAGACAATTAAGTACGAACGAAACCGCTGATCTTGAAAGATGAAATGTTGACTTCGAATCGTATGCGGCGAAATCAGACCCATCTTCGAACGGAGTTTCGCAGGGAGCACCCTAGTTGGAGGCGTGTCAGCAGAGGGTGCATCAGCGATTCTAAGCCGAGGTGGAACTGGACGCAGAATATGCTTAGGCGTTGCTGAAGTTCATGCTTAACGCTGAGATGACGGAGGAGGAGCAAATGCGGCTTATACACAGCCAACAAGTGGTTCGTTGCTGAATCCGCCATCAGGAAGTCAAATAGGTAGAGTCGCTGTAGGGACCTTCAGTGAAGTCAAACGGCAGCTAATGAAATACTTTAAGCCTACGGCTTACTCCGCTACACTAAACGAAGCCATTATTGGTGTACTTAGAATCTAGACGACAATTTAAGCACGCTCGCAATTTTAAACAATCTAGAAGTTTGCACGGTGACAGTGAATATTAACACGGAATTTAGTATTACAAATACTCTCTCCACAAAATGGCAGCTCAGTTGTGTCGAAAACGGATCAATGTGTTTGGGGAAAATAACCCAGTGTCCTGCAATAAACGATTCACGCCAGAAGTCTGCTCCATAACAATACTCAACCTAATACTCTTAACATATCGTCTTGGGGATCACCACCCTTTGCAGCAGTATTTTGAAGAGCTAATGTCTACAAACAATATGACATCAGTTCCAGGCCACTCTGAATTCCCGGGATGCGAAAACGCTGACGAGGTCAGGGGTAGGCTTGTCGACTCTGTTCAACAACCCAGAACCAGAGGTGGATTATGGCTCGTTCGTGCTCGTGTTAACTAGAAAAGGCACAACAAAAACATTCACAAACACGGCAAGATCCGAAAAAAACATTACTAAACAAGAATAAACGCTACCTTCGAGCAAGCCAGACAGAAGAAGAGGAGGAACTTGATGCTGCAGTTGATGGGCGTAGTACTCGAGTGTTTTGCTAATAACTTTTCTTAGAATTGATCGATTTGTATAGATATGTAGATTGCGTGTGCAAAGTTTGATAGGCTTTTGAAATGTGGACTGTATTGACGTATAAAATACGCTCTAGTTGCCTGGATATTAGAAGAGTATACATGCCGGGGTTGGAGAATGTCGGCTTAATCGTCTCCGAAATCCTGGCGTTTATCCAGGCAGACGGACAAACGGATAAACGGACATGGCAATATCGATTTCTCTTGTATATTTTTCTTGAATATACATACTTTATAAAGTCGGAGATGCTTTCTTCTCCCTGTTACATTCTTTGAAGAAACCCAATATTTGTACCCTATGGGTACAGGGTATAAAAAGAACTTGAAATTAGAAAAACTCACTTTTTCTACACACGACGTGGGTTTATGGGTTTTGTTACGATTCCATTTACAAAGAATTATTTATTATATCCACATAGATATTTCATGCTGAGCTAGTTTAAGGCTAGTTTCGATGGCTTATGTAGATTTTTGAAATGATAGCAGCGTGCTTTCCAACTAATAGGGAAGCGATGATTCTTGGGATGCTAAAGCGTTTCTTATACACGATTTACGCAGAATATGCAAGAACTATACAGACAACCAAAACTCTGCATTTTTAATGTTATTGTTATTATTTATATTTTATTTCTGGCGAATTGTGCAAAAAGTATCCATCAGCCTTTACTTGTAAAATTGATGCGACAGTTAAGGTACATACATACTCGTACATAAATAACTACTAGACGCTAACAATGTGGACTATCGATCCATATTTTGTATTCTGAATTATAGTATTCTTAAATACAATGTGCACAGTGTTTTTCGATTTCATGTGTTTACAACTTAACACGCTATTTTATTTAAGGCGACCAGTCAGAGGCTTTATACATACTGCAATTCGCACGTTTTATCAACATACATAATACATATAGTTACATTATTCTGTTTGCGTTCATTTTACCAACATTCATCACTTTACATTTGGCATAGAGTAGTGTCCATGCCCTAGGTGGTACATACATATCTAGTTTCTTTTCGTTCGCATCGAGGCAGCGTCGTCGACACTTCCAAGAGGGGCTCTGGCTCAATATGGACGTCCATTCGTATTTGTATTCGTATTGCTGTAGTACGAGGGTCGATCGGGCAGCTTTGGAGGCGCATTTGAGCCAGGTCGTCTGTAAAACGAACAGAGTTTTTATAATTTATATATGAATGTGTGTTTACAAGTAAGAGCCTTCTACTGCCTCAGTAAAATTTCGTAAAATGTGAAAAATATTTCGAATTAGCCCATGTGTCGCATGATTAGTACTACGTTTGGAAATATTTTTAACTTACCGGCAGCAGTACCACATGTTTGTATATGTACTATAACTTTCATTATGCAAATACCAACACCAAATTTGACAGGAAGCAAGAGCGAGCGCAAACGAGCACACAGGACAACGCATACGGGTACAGATGGGAAGTAGATGTTTTCGAGTTGGGACTTGAATTGTTATTAACTTACCGGTTACCAACGACGTTTTCGATTACAGAATGAGCTAACAAAGCATTATATATACAGATCTTAAAATGTTGATGGGCATCAACTGCTGGGCTTTGAGAACATTGCATGTATTTTTAGTACAGATAAAAAATAAACTTCTCCCAAGATGACAGCTAATTAGTAGAGCCAGAAGAATTGAGTAATCCAGTTAAAGACGAAACGACTATGTCCTATGCAGTCTAAATTAGTTATGTCCTATGGCGAGCACCAAGAATCTACAGAACCACTGCTCATTTCCACGTATTATTAGGTTGTTCATATCAAGTATATACTGATCCGACTAAATCAGCATTTCTCCTCTGTGTTGTTGTTTTTTGCTCAGTTGTTGTACTCAGTTATTTTTTTTGTTTTGTGGATTATTTTTTCCTATAGCTGATTGGGTATGTTTTTAAATTACGTTCCATTTCTCATAAATGAGAAATATAATCCAATATGCAATCCAATGAGAAATGTAATCCAATTCGACTGAGAGATTCCTTTACATTAATAAGTCATCGGACGGATAAGGGTATAGTATAGTTTATGTGCGGACGATAACATGAAACATCTCCTTCTTGCCATTACAAATATATACATATTTAAGACATTATACCATTTGCGTTTAATTACACAACGCCTAAGTTGCTTAAATGAAAAGAGAGATGAGATGAGATGATACGAGGCATTAAAAAAACCTACTTTTGAATAATTTGGTAACGACATCTTAAACACAAAGGTTGATGGATTAGACTGATTTCTGGGCTTTACACAAAGTTATAAATTCGAAATGTGCTTAATTTTTAAAACACAAATGCTACTTTAATAACTCAACCCTTAAAAACGCTTAAGTTGCTTAAATGAAAAGAGAGATGGGATGAGACGAGGCATTAAAAAACCTACTTTTGAATAATTTGGTAACGACATCTTAAACACAAAGGTTGATGGATTAGACTGATTTCTGCCCTTTACAAAACTTATAAATTCGAAATGTGCTTAATCTTTAAAAACACAAAAGCTACTTTAATAAAATAACCCTTAAAAACGCTTCAATTGCTTAAAAGAAATGATAGATGAGATGAGACGAGGCATTACAAAAAACCTGCATGGCTACTAGCCCATCACAGCTTATTTGGTATAGACTCTCCAAGAGCAAGGCTGTTTCTTGATCTCTTATAAAATTCTTATAAAAATTCATTATTGACTTGATTAAATAACCCCAAACACTCCTCCTAGCAAGTTTGCCACTCATTTGGAAGTATGAGAACAAAATGTTCGGTGCAGAATCCGCATAAAATCGCAAAAAAAATGATGCGTTTTATTTTCTCATGCCGATTACTAATCAGCCAGCAAACGGTTACAACTTTGGAAACATCTTCGTGGGAGTTTTGGTGATTTTACAAGTAGCTCTCGAACTATTTCGCAAAGATACGATAATTACCGAAAGCTTACTGCCGGGTATAAAAGCACTCTTGTATCACAAGACGAATTCTTTTTCGAGGCACTATTTTTTGCATCAGTGAAAAAAGGTTATGTTATTTAAGCGTGTGCTGAAATAGCAGTTACATAGTATTAAAGAAATATAAAGTATATGTAGGCATATATAATGTATTTATAATCATAGTATATATAACTCGAGAGACACTACACAATGCAGTTGAAAATATAATTGCTAACTTGCTGATTTTACATTTATTCTTTTATAGCTCGATCTGCGGTTTATTTGTTGGCCTTAAATAAAATATAAATTAACTAGGCAGGAAATATTGTTGTTTCCAATGTTTTTTCATTGTTTATTATTTTGTTTCTGTACTCTCCAAAAAAAAAAAAAAAAAAACCAGCGATCTTCGACGAGCCCTTTCATACCAATTTGTGATGATTATATAAGAATCTGTAAGTCGAGCTTTCTGCTTAAAAATCAAAACGACATCTGTGTTGATTGCATTTTTAACAATTAACAGATTCCAATTCAATCATTGTTAATTATCTGGCCTAATCAGTACTTGTTTTGTAATGAAGCTGTATTTTAAAAATACTGCGGGCCTTTGCGAAGTTCAATAAGCAGGAATTTGTGTCTTTTAACTGAATTTCATATATAGTATGTGTGTATGTACTTGTATGTAATTGAAATAATATTAACAGCATAGACATACATAGTACCTTTACAGAATTTTAAAACACGTGTTTTCTTTTTGTACGCAAAGTTAAAGAATAGCTGTTGCCAGAATTAACTTCTTATTTCTATTTGGAGTTACATAAACATATAGTATATATTGGCCGAAAACATTTGTCTTTATGAATTCCATTTGGAACTTAAGGAGAGATAAGTCAACACCCACACTGTTGATAATATTTTATTTTAACATATATTGCTACTTTGTTATTCAATGGTTTAGTTTGCTTTTATACTTTTCAATTTAATATAATTACATAATGTAATACAATAGGTATAATATAATTACATCTTTGTTCTTTTTACACTTGATAACATTTTTCATCTATCCACACTAAAACATCCGATATTCAGATGTAACAATATTCCCACACTGTGCACCAAATTTCTGAGAGCATCGCTCGGTTGCAAAGCTGCTGTTCGCCGCCAGAAATGAATGCGTTTCTTGCTTTTACAATACTCTTTTATAAATATAATTGTTTATTTGTAATATAAAGTTTAAGTGCAATTGAATGAATGAACTATGACACTAGATCTAGCACTAACAATTAGTATGATTTTCACGGGACATTCATTTGCATAAATACGGGGCATTCCAAATTATGTTTATACACGATAAGAACTATAATAAATATTTGAATATGCGCATAGGTATATACTTGTATGCGGGGTGGTATATATTTTGATTTCTAAATCATATATTGCAGCTCCTTCCCGCTGTACGAGGGCTTGGACGATCTTTGGTTTCAACAGAATGACACGCCTAGTTCAGTAATCGTGTTAATAGTAGTCTCGGAAATGCGATTTGACACTGTTCTACTTTTTTTGTGGGGAGCCGTAACTGTCGGAACAATCCATTTACGCTTCAAGTGCTTAAAGCGAATATCGGATAAGCCATTCCAGAGTTAGAGCCAGAAACCGTCACCAAAGTCTTGAAAACCTGGGTTACAGGAGGCAGCCACATGAATAAAATCGTGCTTCATAAATAATGGGAATGTTTGGTATTTCGCATAAGCCAGTAATATGCCGAAAAGATTTTATTTTTGCCACTATATTAACATATTCCAAGTAGTAGAGTGCGATGAGCACAGAAGTACGCTGACCCTCATAACAAGGTCCTTTAAATCGGCCATTTACCTTTTTGGTTAACTCAAAGCGAATCGATCCATTGCAAAAATAATGTAAATTAACGGCAGTGTACAATTATAATTTGGAAGGCCTAGTACTTATAGTTGTTAAATAGGTTTTATTGATTTTCCTAATCAATCAAGCCTGTGTAAGTAAATTAATTTCAAAATATATATGCTTTACTTGTATGCAATTTAATGAGGATTTCAAAACAAAGCGTTAATGTATTTATATCTTTCACATAATAGGACGCATTGTAGAGACTATATAATTGCGTCGATCAGATTCGATCACCATGTAGTACATATTTGAAAATCATATGGCTTTCATTAGACGATATGTTTTAGAAGGGTTTTTGGAAAGAGTGCTGTCATAGTATGTTGTCATATTGTGAAAGTTGTGCGCCGCGAATAATAACAATAGGTGGCCAAACGTGTAGAATTTAAATAATACTTATATGCTTGGCCATAGACGAAGGACTTGTTTTAACAGGCAATGAAGAGCATATGTATGTATGTATGTATGTATGTATGTATAACTTGCTGTGTAGACTCCTTTTTATGAATATATATATAAGTGTATATAGTATATTTGGAATCGTTTTTTGTTTGGATATTCATGTTGAAATGTCTATACATTTCTTTATGCATAAGCAAAGTACAAATAATGATTATTTCATCTGTCACGCAAATACACGTACGCTTGCAAATCAATTGAACTCCCTCCAGGTTTTTGGTTGACAATATCCTCGCTGAACTAAATCAAGTGGCTTAGCACAGTGAGCTATGAAGGTATTATTGTTAGTTAGCTTTATTGTATTTGAAATACATACATTGAGCACGTATAGAGATCGGATATTCATATTTTTCTCCCATATGTATATGTAAATAAATATATATATATATATATGTGTGTGTGTGTGTGTTGGATAATGTATGTACATATTAGCGACATACATATGTTCTTATTTTGTTCTATTATTTAACATTTCAATTGCCTTTATTATAATTTGGAAAAATAAAAGACAGTTATAATTGATTTAACAGTTAATTTTTTGTCGATAAAGGAGCACGCAGACTCCCAATTAGCAACAACGGTAAACGAGCAAATATTTTGCATATACTTTTGCATGTACTCGTGTGCGTGCGCGTCTTAAAATTTGCTCATTCTGTTTCCTACTTGTATTTTGGATTCACTTGAATCGCGTAGCAAACACATTGGAAAGTTCATTTACAGCCGCCTGACCCACAGCTTGATTCACTTGTCCACGCATGCTCTCCGGTATGTAGCGATTGGCACCCGTCTGCTGTGTTATGGCGCCGCCGACCGCTCCAGTTACTCGACTTGAAAAGTGGCAAAATAATGTTTTTGTTGTTGTATTTGCATTGCAGTTAAGGGCTTACTAAAATTGATACAGACAAACCACTCGGCCGACTCTGGACAGGCCAGTGATTACTTAGTAACCAAACAAATGCCGTAACGCTTGAAACCCCTTTTTATTTATTTCATTTTTAAGTTTTATCGTTTTTTTTAAATCGCTAACCCTGTGGCATTGATTGAATATTTTTGACAAAAATTTAATCGGAGAAATGATAAACATGTTGAAAATCAATACAAACATAAGTACCAATGCACGCATGTTAATATAAGCAGATAATAATCTTATGTTATCTACAAGTTATCTGTCACTGTTGCATACGAATGTAAGCATAAAGAATATGTATAGCAAAAGTGTCAGTCTCCAATAAAACTCTAAAGCGAACAGACGCACGGCGGTCCGCGACTATTGTCTTTTACTTTACTCCTACTGAGCCCTTCCCTTTTCAGCGAATATATAATCTATTCAATAGGTTATGGGCCCAGGGCATATAGGCTCATAGGAGAAGTTCAAAGTATTGTGAAATAGTAATCGTTTGGTGACTCAAGAAATATAACATTTAAAAAATGAGTGCGCTATATCAAATAGACAAATTGGAAGAGCATAACTATGACTCATGGAGCATACAGATGCGATCTGTCTTAGTGCACGCGGAATTGTGGAGTGTGGCATCAGGTGCTGAACCTAGTAATACTGAGAGTTCAAGGCCAAAAGATGAAAAGGCATTAGCAATTATAACGCTAAGTGTAAAAGCTTCACAATTGGGCTTCATTAAAAATTGCAACACTTCGTACGAGGCATGGAAAAAGTTAAAGGACGTTCATCAGCCGAGTGGACCTGTACGGAAAGTGTCGCTGTACAAGAAATTGCTAGGCAAACGCATGTTTCAAGGCCAAAGCATTTCAAGTTACATACACGAATTTAACGAAATTCTGGATGGTTTGTGTACAGTTGGCATCGAATTAAATGATGAGTTAAAAACAATCGTGTTGTTGTCAAGCTTGCCCGAACCATACGAAAATTTTGTCGTCGCCATTGAGACGCGTGACAATTTACCGTCATTTGATGTGTTATGTATCAAGCTGATGGAAGAGGGAGAGCGCAGAGGCAATGCAGATGGAGAGAGCGAGAATGCAAGAGCATTTATAGCTACGCAGCAGATCGTCGCGCATTCCAAAGCGAATTCAAAAAGGAATTCAAAAATCGTCGTTTGCTACAACTGCGGCGAAAAAGGGCACTACAAGGCACAGTGCAAGCGTGAGAAAATTCGCGGTGAAGGGAAAAAGCAATCGACAAAGAAAGAGATGGAAAAGCAGAGCAGCTTGTTAAATGCGTTGGACGTTGGAAAGATAGAGAACAACATGTGGTGTCTGGACAGCGGAGCAACAAGCCATATGTGTTGCGATAAGACGTTATTTTCAAAATTTATTGCGCACACTGAAATGATCGGTTTAGCTGACGCTGGTTTCCTGAAGGCCGAAGGCAGAGGAGAGGTGAAGTTACAGACAGAACTTTGTACCTTGGTGTTGTCAGATGTACTGTATGTACCGAAAATGAATGGCAACTTTATGTCCGTCAGCCGGTCAGTGCAAAAGAACAATGTTATACATTTTGGGCCACATTTTGCTAAAGTTATACAAAACGGCGAGTGTATACTGAAAGCGAATAAAGTTGGGAACCTTTATATGTTTCAAGGCAAACAAAATAGGTGTTATTCCGCAACTGAATCAGATGGTACATTGTGGCATAAGCGTTATGGCCATTTAAATTTTACCAGTCTGAAGGAAGTGATCAGCAAAGAGCTAGTGCGTGGTATTGGAAAGGTTTTTTTCCCAGACAACTTGAATTGCAAAACGTGTATGCTAAGCAAAATACATGTACAGCCATTCCCAAAGGTAAGCACTAACCGTGCCGAAGAGCTGTTGGAACTGGTTCATGCTGATGTATGCGGCCCATTCGACACGAAGTCACTTGCTGGATCCAAATACTTTCTGACCTTCATCGATGACAAGTCCAGGCGTATATTTGTTTATTTTTTGCGGAAGAAAGATGAAGTGTTCAGTAAGTTCGTCGAATTTAAAAACTTGGTTGAACGGCAAACAGATAAAAAGCTCAAATGTATTCGAACCGACAATGGAGGCGAGTTTGTCAACACAACATTCAACGGTTTCCTGAAACACCATGGTATTGCAAGGCAATTGACCGTGGCTTATACTCCGCAGCAGAACGGCGTGGCGGAAAGAGCAAACCGGACATTAACGGAGATGTCCAGATGCTTATTGGTGCAGTCGGGCCTAGGCGAGTCTTTGTGGGCCGAAGCAGTCAACACAGCAGTATACATAAGAAACAGATCACCTACCAGTGCACTGAACAACCTGACTCCAATGGAAGCGTGGACAGGTAAGAAACCCTGTGTTAGCCATCTAAAAGTTTTTGGTTCCATTGCAGTTGCACTTGCAAAGGGTCCCCGTAAAGGCAAATTCAAACCCAAAGGGCATGAGTACCGTATGGTTGGGTATTCGGTAGCAGCCAAAGGCTATCGGTTATACGACCCAGAGACGAGGACGATTGTCGAAAAACGAGACATTCTATTTGATGAGCGTTGTGGTGGTCATACCAATGAAGATACCGTTACGGTAGATTTTCCTGCATGCGAGGTTCAAGAGCATGTCACTCACACGGATGGTGACAGAAGCATCGACGACGATGACAGTGAGCACAGTTCTGACGACAGCAGCTCCAACGCATATGAGAGTGCAGTCGAAAAAGAAGACTCTGACGAGGATACTGTGAAGATTGGGCCAGGCCGGCCTAAAATTGTTCGAAATGGTAAACCTGGTCGTCCAAGAAAGCAATACAATGTGCTTGGAGCATTGGTTGCTAGTGACGTAATGGTTCCGACATCCTATGATCAGGCCGTTGGTAGCACACATGCAGTATTCTGGCAAGAGGCGATGCAAAAGGAATATCAGGCACTACAATCAAACGAAACCTGGCAGATGGCTGATTTACCAAAAGATCAGCGAGCAGTTGGTTGCAAGTGGGTATACAGCCTGAAACGTGACTCTGATGGAAAAGTCGAACGTTTCAAGGCACGACTCGTTGCTAAAGGGTGCTCCCAGAAGTATGGCGTGAACTATGTAGAGACGTTCTCACCCGTTTGCAGATTGGAAACCGTGCGGTTTATTTTGGCGTTAGCAGCGGAATTGAAGCTGTACCTTCACCAGATAGATGTGTGTACCGCCTATTTGAATAGCGACCTGCATGAAACTGTTTATATGAAGCAGCCACAGGGATACACAGATCCCAATAATCCAAGTAAGGCTTTATTGCTTAAAAAGGCAATATATGGATTGAAGCAGTCGGGGCGCGAGTGGAACTCCAAGCTCGATTGTGTACTACAAGGCATAGATTTTGTAGCATGTGAAAATGAACCGTGTCTTTACAAAAGGAACGGAAGAGGTGACTTATCATTAATCCTTGTTTATGTTGATGATATAATTATAGCATGCCGATCAAAAGAGGACTTGGCCAACATCAAGTCAGCCATTACAACATCGTTTGAATGTGTTGACAAGGGAGAGCTGCATTTGTTCCTTGGCATGGAAGTGCAGCGCGACGGTGAGCTTGGCGAAATTTCGCTAAGCAATTCGCAATACATCAAAGACATATTGCGTGAACATGGATGCGAGACCTGTAGACCTACAGCGACCCCACTGGATGCTGGTTTCCAAGTGATATGTACCAGCGAGCATTGTCAAAAGGTTGACATTGCATCCTACCAGTCTTCAATTGGCGAGTTAATGTGGCTGGCGCTTACAACAAGGCCAGACATATTGCATTCCGTTGCCAAGTTAGCTCAACGGAATCAAGATCCGCATGCAGAGCACCTAGTGGGTGTAAAACATGTGCTTCGATACCTGGCGTCAACTGTGGACCTGAAGTTGCACTACAAAGAGTGTGGACAACCCCTTACCGGCTATGTGGATGCAGACTGGGGTGGCGACCGCATCGATCGCAAGTCGTATACTGGCTATGTATACTACTTGGCTGGAGGACCCATATCCTGGCGATCTGAAAAGCAACGCAGCGTGGCACTTAGCAGCACGGAGGCGGAGTATATGGCTCTTTCAACTGCGTGTAAGGAGGCCATATACCTACGGCGTCTTATAGTGGAGATTGGCTGCGGTGACTCGAGTACTCCAACTATTCTTCATGGCGATAATTTAAGTGCTCAACAATTAGCTAAGAATCCTGTACACCATGAAAGAACAAAGCATATTGATATTAGATATCATTTTGCAAGACAGGTTGTAAACGAAGAACAAATTGTTTTACAGTATACATCAACCAATGAAATGATAGCTGATATTTTAACGAAAAATCTCCCTAAAGCGAAGCATGTTCATTTTACAAAGCTGTTAAATTTGATTTGAAAATTTTTGTAAAACATGTTTGCATTGAGGAAGGGTGTTGAAAATCAATACAAACATAAGTACCAATGCACGCATGTTAATATAAGCAGATAATAATCTTATGTTATCTACAAGTTATCTGTCACTGTTGCATACGAATGTAAGCATAAAGAATATGTATAGCAAAAGTGTCAGTCTCCAATAAAACTCTAAAGCGAACAGACGCACGGCGGTCCGCGACTATTGTCTTTTACTTTACTCCTACTGAGCCCTTCCCTTTTCAGCGAATATATAATCTATTCAATAAAACATGTGTATATGAATAATTTACAGACAACGTTAAAAAAAGAACGAAAGAAAAAAAAATAACAACAAAATACAATTTATTGAAAAACAACTCCAGTCAAATGAAAGGGGGTGGGGGGTGAGATGGGAGGATAAGGGAGAGTCGGTTAATATGCATATACTTATGTATATTAGCACTAATTTGTAAAATTTGTTTGATTTTATCAGAATTACAAGTTAGATTGCTAATTTTTTTTTGAATATCGTGAACAGAATTATATCGAGACACATTGATGTGGTCAATAGTTTCGTCGAGTTGGCGAGTCTACTTACCAGACAGACGGACGGTACTGTCACATGCATCTTACCTCTGGAGAGAGCAACTACTAGCTTCTATATAAGAGAGACCAGCTTAGCCAGTCATACACCCTCTGCTTTCGCCATCAAGAAACTGCACTACCCCCTATAGGTGTGACTATATTTTGTGAACAAAAAGTAAATATTTCGGTTTCACTACGGCTATATTCTTCGGGGTAGCTAGAGCAACCATTTTAGAGCATCATTTACAATTCACTATATTTCTAGCAATATGAATAATGCCTGCGGATTTATTACACTTCTGAGCTGTGAGGCAGTTCGTTATTGTCAACAGGTTTCTATTGTGGATATGTGTGCGTAGTTTTCAATGTTCTTTTTGTGGCTTAGTCTTTTGTTTGCAGGTATGTTGGTCATGTGCTTTTGTACACTAATATTTGTTAGAATATTCGAACTGCACCGATGTCTGAAGTGTGCCCGCTACCATGCAATGGGGTGTAAAGATATACAAAGAGTGGAACTCTGCGTAATCGAATATATACATGTGTGCTGTATCAACCTGAATCTGAACGGCTCACATCTCAGAGGTGGATGAAACCCGCAAATATTTGGATACCCTTCATTAAAAGTGTAAAGACATACCCTGTTTGGTGTGTACATGCTCGTAAATGATTAGCATGACGATGCGAATATGCCAAACGCGTTGCCCTTTCGTCTGATTCAATCGTTGGTCTTCCCACAGTTCTACAGGTAAAACTTTCAAACGGTGGTCGAGCCCGACAATGTCAGATAACTATATTATAAAGCCGTCGTTGAAACGACATGATTTAGAGAAATCAAAAATTATGAAAAACATTTACCCGTGAGTCTCAAGCCGGGGCCATGGACGACCAAATACCGAAGGCCTAAGATAACTGCTTGTACATATTGTTGAAAATTAAAATTATGATTTGTAAATGAAGTTCATAATAGTTGTAGCTACCATTAGAGTGAATATATGCATAGATAGATTCACATTATACGTCTGTTATGTTATGCTTGGCATATGTATATGTAAATATACAGCTTTTCAAAGCTGAAAGCAGCCGAAACCCAACCAATGGTCCATTTTATAAGCATCCGGTTAACAGTTTGTATTTAGAACTATACCTTTATACTTTTTTTCATATACATATATATACTATACATATATATAATATTTTTGAAGGATTTTGTTCTTTTTTATAAAATTAGTGCGCTTTTAGGTTAGCGAGTGATTATCAAATATTAAAAGGTGTAAGGTATATTTGAGCGATATATTCTAGCGATATATTCTGAAGAAGTATGCAATGCTAATATTTGGCTTAAGCTCAAATAGACAATGTAGCCAAACCCTTTTTTTGAATTCATACTTCATGAACGAACATCACCAGTTAGTTACAAAGTGCAAATAATATACCTTCATACTTTAATGTTAAAAAAAACTTGGTATGAAAATCAGTGGGCACGTGAATTGCGGGTGTTGTAAGAATATCCCACGAATTCACCAAAACACCGATGGGTGAAGGGCAAAATTTAATATAATTTTACTCGAAGGCTTCAAATTTGTACTAATTTTAATTGTATTCAGTTAGCCAAGTATGACAGTTAAACGGTGCTTTTCTGCCGTTCTCTTCGAACAATCTTGACGATACAAACTCGTATGTGAAGACGAATACAATTGTAAAAATAAATTATGGCTACGCATGACAAATATTGTAAAATCATAGATAAGTGTATATGTAATTCTGAAGATTGACAGAAACTTGAAGCCGGACGCTTAGATAATGGACGAATACTGTTGTATTTTTGGTTTGGGTTTTAAGACATGAAATAAATGGGCCGTTCCCAACTGAACAATATGATTTTCAGGTTTTCCATAGCTATAGTACTGTTGTTGATCTTTCCTTTGCATTCGTTTTGTTCGTATATGCGTCATATATATGTAGATAATGAGTACTTGGGTAGATTCAATGTTCTCTTCTCGCGTACATAAAGCTAAGTTTCAGTTTCAGTTAAGTTTCAACTTTTTATTTTTCTTTTAACGACAACAACAACACAAAAAGGTACATTATTTAATTTTACATTAACTGCATTATTGATTATTGTATAATATCCTTTATATATGCATATACATAGGTCATTTGATGGATAGCTGTTAGCATTCATACACACATATGTATATATACATAGAACTACAACAAAATTGTAAGCGCAATCTGAGCGTGCACATATGCATACATAATACTATTTATATATAGTATATATGGATATAAATACATACTAAGTTCGCTCATGTTAAAAAGGTCATACGAAGATTAGATGAAATTAAAGATAGAAGATACTAATGGCTTTTTGAACCTCGTTAACACTTTACTTTGAGGAAAACTTGAATAGCTTAAGCCCGTTTTCACTTACGCATCCAGTGGAAGCGAATGAAATTTTGCGTGTGGCTTATGATGTCAACCTTAGGGATTATACATACATATTTTACTAACTTCAATATTCTTCATATGTGTTGTTAACTAGATGTTAATATTTATATTTTATTTGCATTCTGTTTTGCTGGACAATATAACGTCATCTTTTCATTTATTGTTATGTACTTGCATACACATGCAAGGTCATCTATGGTATCTATGTATAGTATATGTATGTTTGTATGTATATGTATGTATGTATGTATAGTATGTTTGTATGTATATATGTATAGTATGTGTTTGCATGTATATATGTATAGTATGTTTGTATGTATGTGTGTGTTTGATTAAATTGCATTTGGTATTAACAAAACAGTTGACTTGATATATGTATGTATGTATTGTATGTATGTATGTATGTAGATGCAGCCATATGAATGTTTGTAAATAGTAATATGTACTATGGAGTTTACCAAGGCATCACATTGGATGACATCGTTGTTGTTGCTAATTACTAATTTATCTAGAGTTGTGTATTCGCCTTCATTTCAATTTTTATGTCTGACAATAGCATTTGTATGACAACAAGGTACCTGCGATTTCCCCCTTAATACATTTTCTTTGTTTTTTTTTTTTACTTGAGTAGTTTCATACGATTTTCAACATTCGAGAGTTTCTGGAAAATTGCGATTAGATAATTAATAATCGTATTAACACAATTTTAAAAAGCGTGTTGAGGTTGGAAAGCGCTTGGCTTTGATTGCGTTATATTTGTTGAGTATAGTAGGTAGCCTTTAATGTAGTAGTTGATAAATTGTTTATCGTTTATATTTGGCAAGTCAAGTGCCTTAAGTGCTGGAACGATGATTCTTAAATGGGCTGACACAAATTAACGACGTCTGTTAGTGCACGAATGTGTGTGAGTTTTGATTTTTATGCATTATTGTTTTAGTTTTTGTAGCAGCATCAGCGCAGCATTTAATTAGCACAAAATCGAGTGTTTGTATTTTTATCGAATGAGTGAAAGAAAGAAAAAAGAGAAGAAACGATATGTTTATCGTTAATTGTTGTTAGGTCTGGTTCTTTGCTGGTAAAAATAATTAGAGATAGTGCTAAAAATAAGTGCCGAGATCGAATTAAAAAAATCAAAATCACATTATTTAATTTGTACAAAAAATGTAAACAATTGTTATAAATATAGTTGACAGAACAGAAACACATATAGTTAATAACAAAAATTGGATGTCGAGATAATAACAAAATATAACTACATAATATACAATTTAATTGTTATGTTTATTTGTTTTTAAGTCCGCAGTTCAACACATAAAAGGAGATCGTGCCAACCTACCAAGTTAAATAAATGTTCTTCTGAAACTTGTCCGTTCGGACCGATTGACAGAAATATTTGATAATACCCGTTTGCCCCCGGGCTAAATAATTAGTTCAATCACATCCGTTGGCCGAACTTGGCAGAGATCATCGAATGGATATATTAACAGAGCTCTTAAAAAGTCAATAAAACTATTCAAATAGTTATTCCAATGCATTTAGAAAACTGTATCAAAAGATAATAATCTAGCATCATAGTTTCTACAGAAATGTGGAGTCGCAGAACTTTACCCGGAAGAATTGGCATATTCGTAACTTTTTAATAAATGTTTTTAGGAGTTTATAAGTTCAGTGATCCCTTCCTTTAATTCGATTCTTCTTTTAAATTACTGAAGAAGAACATGAAAAGTGTTGTTTGCAATAAGATATTCAGATTATATAGTTTCCTATATATCGCGGAGAAACAAAAGGCTTTTTTGTCCCTTAAACAGAAGAGGTCTTCACCTTGCAACGTCAGTTGTCAACTTGCTTCTGAAACTTCTTGAAGTGACCGACCACACGGCGTCAAATGTTAACTTTCTTATAGTCGGATAGCACACATTAGAGGTAGAAATTAAAATAGGGAGACAAAAATCAAAAAGCAACAAGGGATATGATTTAACGGGGAGATGAGGCGGCTATCTGCGATGTTGTAACTTAATAAGGTGAATGTAATAATCTTTATTAAGAAGCAAATCCCTTTTTTGCTGAAACCTTTTGACCGTTTTCATCGAATTTTGCCGAGAACTCGGCGATATTCAATACCAAGAATTGGGAAAGTTATAGAAAACTTTGAACTTTGAAGTTAAACTGGACAGCATGTATGTAGATGAAAAGGGTATTTGCGTTTTGTCTGCATATGTACATATATGTGGGTGTACTTTTGCATATAAAAAGAGGTCCCAAACGTCGATAAAAGAAAACTTAATATGAAATAACAAATATATAACATGAATAAGAAGGTACATACAAGAATTGTATACATATAATAATGTGGAAATTCTGATGTGAAATAGTATAACCAAGGATACTCACGATGGTAGCAGTGGTGGCGGCAGCCCGCCGCCCGGTCGTCCACCAGGTAGTGGTGGTGCGCCGCCTCCAGGACGATTCGGAATTGCTGGTGCCGGGCGACCAGTGGCTGGTGGTAATGGTGGGTTTCGGCCACCCAAGGAGCTCTGTTCAAATTGAATTTACAGGTTATATGTACAACTGCTTTGGCAAGAAATAACGCTAACCTGTGCGGTGGGTGCTGGTTTACGTGGGCCACCTGGACTTGGCGGCGAAAGGCGTGGATTCTCTAGGCCACTTGGCAGCCAGTCGTTTTTGACTGGTGGTGGCAACGGTGACGAGACAGTAGCCATTGAAACATCGCCTAAATTTAAATGTAAATTAAATAATTTGTATTAGATAAGCCGTGCGTTACTCTTACCAATGATTTGCAAGGCGTCCTTGCAAGCGCGATACATGCGCAGCATTTCCTCACGTCGCGTTGCCGATTCGGCGGACTCCTCCATCATTTGAGCCTAAAAGATTAGCAGGAGCAAAATAAATAATTAGCTGTTAAATAAAGTGGGCCACTCCATAATGATACGCACTTGATCACCGGAGGCATACAAGTGTGCCAACAGTTCGCCGTTGATAAAATCCTTGGCATTGTTAATGATTAACATCATTATAGCCTTCGGAACCATGTCTCGCGTGGTCTTTGTGACAATCTTCATGTAGGAATCGACCAGGTTGCGTATTGTCTCCACTTGCCGCTCAAGCTGCGGATCGGAAGAGCTCTCTTCACTAGCCGACTGTGCGTTTTTCAATAAAGAGCGACCATATTGATTGCGTTGGTTAGTGATGGGCCCAATGTGGCGTACGTTCAAATGGACGGAATGGGGGAGAAATATCAAAAACAAATTTGTTAATAATTGCGAATAAGTGGTGCAGCCATAATGTAATATTATGAACGGGTTTTGCTGTTATTTTAGTTGTAACATTAATTAATACAAACAATAACAAAACAACGAAAACAAAAACTTAGAGTAAGCGCCTATTGTTACGGGGAATATTGCAGTTTTGAAACATAAATAAAATACAGCTTCATGGTGTTTTCTTTGTAGTTAAAGAGACAAATTGAATCTTGGTTCAAAAAGGTTTCTTTGTGTTTGTTAAAGAGTTTTGGATATTTCGCACATTTATTGTTCATCGCAGATGCGTCTACGTATAATACGATATAAAAATACGTATTATTGCAAATTAAATGTCTCAAATGTTAAAAGTGGCGGACAAACAGACATGACTAAGTCTATCCTGCTCATCTATACTAGTTTTTCAAATCCCCAAATCCTATTTTCTAAGGGTACTTAGTAAGATAACGAAAAAATAAAAGGAACATGCGAAAAATTCTTCTTTCTACCAATTTATTGCATAGACTGGGCCCCAAAACATTTAATTGAAAATCAGCTGGAACAGATAGGGTTAAAATAAAATAAAAAAATATATATTGAAAACAATGTAGAGGAGGGCTGGCTCTGTCTACATATGACTCAAATATCGGAACAGTCTCAATAAGCCCTTCATTGTATTTGTTAAATGTTAAAGTAGTCAAAAATAAGTTTGGATTATTGAAACAGTAAACTGAAGAATACAACACAAAAAAGGAACAAAAAAACCATTAATTTTCATATACATATGTGATATTAACATACTTTTTGCTGTAAGCGGTTGGATTAAATATATATTTGTTCAGTGGCATATTTTGAATTTATAGTCATATTATTTTTTCATTGTTTTACGGTCATATCATATCAGTTGGTACGTAGACGGGGAAAATAGAAGAAAACAATTGATAAACAATATTGTTAAAATAAAAATACACACAATATTTTATGTATAGTATTTTTGTATCTATCATTTGTTATATATTAGTAATAAACCATTTTGTATACTATATATTAGAAATATGAATTAAGAGGGCGCTTTTTTAGGCATTGTACTGTCAAAAAAAATTTTATTTTCATTTTAACTGTAATTAAAGCATTGATAGAAATATATCATTGATCTGGATACTGGAGTTTCAAAAATGGAATTTTTGTATTGTCTTTATTCCTAACTGACGATTTTGCTGCTGCCCAAATAAAACTGGCTCCGATTCTACTCGAAGGTCCATTTTAGTTTGAGTCAAAAGGACATCTCAGAGTATCAACTGAATGGTTTCTGATCCACATCGATAGCTTGTTATTTCATATCAGAAATGGCGAACGCCAGAGCTTAAAGATGTCTAATTTTAAACTAAAATTAGTTTTTGTTTAAGATCAATTTAGAGTTAATTAACTAAGTCATCTTTTTATCTTTTAACACTTTCATTTTATTCTTTTGGACTGGATAGTCTGCAGTTTTTATTTATGAATATATATGTATAGGACTGTTATAAACGACAACTGCAAAACAAAACTCCTATTCTACTTCTTTGTAATACAGAAGTGTCTAATTATGCGGACGATTTTCTCGAATGTAAAAGAGTCAAGCCGAGTCCAATATGTGGATAAGTCCAATTTGAAATACAAACCATCAAAAAACACCCTTTGTTTATGCTCTTAATTATAACGACAAAAATGATCCAACAAGAAGCTACAACTAAAAACTGCCAAATCAAAATAATTGTACCGAATTTTAGAAGTTAGTATTTATGGAAAGGGATGAACAAGTAGTAGATAAAGGGAAGCCAACCCCAATGCTCAATTTCAATTGATTATATACAATTTTAAAAGTATTTCACCAATTATATGAAAGCGTTGATTTTTTCCCAACTAAAGAACAAAATGAGTAACTTACGAATAGGAAAAAAAATGTTAAATTTCTAAAATGCAAATTAAGTAGTAGATATTATGAAATGAACCAACCTCTTGTCCTTCCTGCATGCATATATAAAATTGTATTTATATATATATATATCAATTTTGTATTAAAAACGTTGTTTTGTAGGCCCAACGATACAAATAATGAAACATATGAGGAGAAACATTCAATATCATTAGATCATTCAATAAATCTTGAAATAGGTCTGTGTAATAATATATCTATACATATGTTAAAAATACATTTTGTAGAGTATACAGGTGTGAACATTTGAATACCCTACCCTATATGCATATATGTACAAGGGCAGTCCGAAAGGTTGCTAGTCTGACAATGATTAAAAATGCTTTTTCAAATTCGTCGATTTTTCCAGGAAAACTGCTGATGTATGGGAATTGAAATTGAGTTAACGCGGCTCCCAACGTGCCGAAAACTTGTTCACATTCAATCGCTTGGTGATCTCAGCTATCTCCTTATTTTGATTCGGCGGTCGTCCAGAACCATTTGGTAAACGTTAGCGATATTTTTCAGTGTTATGACAGCGTCCATCTCTTTTATGATTTGCGTAGGCGTTTTGGATTTTAACAACAAATTTCTTATGACCACAAGATATTCAAATTTTTAATTAGTTAATCAATTGTTGAATAATACCAAAGTTTGGTAAATGTAGGAGGTCGTCTTCATGGCCCGGCTTGAAACATTGTGGACTGCCCTCGTGCATATTGACATATTCAATCCCGGTCACTCAATTATATGTTGTTTCACTTCATAGCATTAATATGAATAATACAAGTATTAACATACAAAATTCCCCTATTGATACACAGATATATAGTATATTGCTATGTGCAGGCACATATAGTACGTGCGTTTGATTGTGTGTAGTCTAAAATACCCCTAATAGATCATATTAGGTCTGGGCCAGAGTAAATGAAAATCATACCCGTTCCTTAAGTGGAGGAAAACATCGTCACAGCATTCAATACGTAGATCGACTAGGCCACAGAGAACGAAGAGAAAGATTTGTTCAACCAACTAAATGGGGTTTTCATGTACCCGAAAGGTCCAAAAAAGTATTCATTTGAACATTTTGTATGGATAAGCAGAGGCATGAGTTTTAAAATTCAATTTGGTATCAAATAGAAATCCAAGGTACAACAAATCTAAGCCGTAAAAAGCGGTTACATTAAGAAGAATCGATGTGGAAATGAGTAATTAAATAAAAGGAAGGAAACCACTTTTGGGCCCAACAGGCAACCATTTGGTGTTGTTTTTCGAATAGGAAACCCAAATTAGAAAATAGGTAGCATCAACATGACTCACTGCAATGGTGATATTAGTCCGATAAGGTCTGATAAGTATGGTATTGCGCGCTGCAAGAAAGTAGAAGGTAGGGTCTACCAATTTAGCCATAGTTGAGCGACATTACTTGTATAAATAAACGCGCTCTAACATTGGCTGCGAAAAATTAAGTCAAAACTCGATGAAAGTACCAGGAGTGGTGAGCGAGGAAATGTCTTTATTGATTAGACCTCTAGTTGACTGAAAGAAGATAGCACAAGTCAATAATAGCAGCATCACAGCTGACCTTTTTGTTACCAAGCAAAAATAGAAGCTGAAAGGAAAGATTTACGCCGTGCCATTATTATAGAATTGTTAATGATTCTCTCCTCTTTGTACTTTTCAAGATACAATACTTGTATAATTAATAAGGCATTGGCAAATTGTAAATAAGCATTTGCGAAAGAAATGGCGAAATTTTAATGGATTCAAAAAGGTGAGCTGACATATTTATAAATGGAAAGACACATTTTTAACGTAGGGTAGTACGGCATTTTGTTTAGATGGTTAGGTATTGACACATTAAGTAGGGAAGAAAGATGTAAATGGGACCGCACGACTCTAATATTATGGACTTATATATAGTTTACAAGAAAGATTACAAATGGCAACAAAATAAGATCTTTTGATTACTTGTTAAATTCGTCAGTTAGATGAAGTTGGCCAACTTTATTAGAACAATGACAAAGTCCTATCCCTATAAAAATCATCAGAAACACAGATTAAACAGTTTTATTTCCGCTTTTCACAAACAGTAAAAACGGTGCGAAAAATATACCACACGGAAACAGTGTGTTATTAGTAGGTATACCCAAGTGTCTTGCCTTAAAACATACGTATGTAACATAGTATGTCCATATACTAGAACCATTTGCGCAAGAAGCAAATGCAATAATCAAATACCACAGTAAATAGACATACTCTTTCGTACAGACATATGTAATCTAAACTTAATACATACATACATATAACTGGGGAATTTACTTGCCCCTTATAATATTGTACATATTGGGAATTCCGATTTTCACCAACAAACAAACATACCTCGTCTCCATTCTCCTGCGTCTCCTGCTTCTCCGGATAAACGCCAGCACGCAGGAACGAGGCCTTCCACGACTCCACATCCTCAACCGTTTCGCACGACAGCTCAAGTTGTTTGTAGTCCTAAATTGAATGTAAGAATTGAGAAAAAGAGAAGCGTCCAAGCGCCAAAGAGAACAAATTGATAGAGGTTTTCAACTTTCTCAAATTAAACAACATTTGGCAACCAACAATATTACGAGGACTTTAGTTGGATTTGGTTTTACTTGAGCAAGTATGCGATAGATATAGGAATTATCTGGTCTTCAGTAAGAAATGGCGAACATCTTATTTTGTGTCGTGGACTGAAGTTAGTTAGTGTATGTAAAAATTATGGTAGGTGCCTTGGCACGCCGTACAAATCAAAAGTCCAACGAGTTTGCCCGGGAACAAGCTCATTCGATTTTGATCGGCTTAAATGTTAATAAAACCATAGTAATTTTTATTCTATACAAAAAAATTAACTAATTGAATTGATTTACTACTTTCAATTACACTTTGTGATTTTTTCTCCCATCTTTAGTAATGAAATTAAAATAGGAGAATTTAAAGTGTTCATTTTCGAAAAGAAAAACTACAAAAGAAAAACAAGAGTGTTAAGTTAATGCTTGCAAATTTGAGTTGGCAAAAAAAAAACAAATTTTTTGATTGGATTGGATTGCCACAGTTTTGTGGTTAATGGAAGCAAAATTACTTTTGGTTTTCTTTTTGTATTTTCTTTGTTTGGATTTTATAATTTGGTTGCGGTTTAAGTTTCATTCGAAAATTTTTTTGTATTCCAACAAAAATTACTAACCTTATAAACATTACGTCCATCGGGACTGAATAAAGCAAACGTAACACGTCTAGACATTGACATAAAGCCCTGTTCAATATCTCGCAATTTTAAACCGTCCAATGGTAACATAAATTTCTTTTCCTTCTCATCCTCGTCCTTGTACCAGGAGATGCTCTCCGAGGTTAGCACAAACCAATAAGGACGCGAACCTCCTGTGAACGAAAATGGGTTTATTTGCATACAACACAAAGGGAAGGGGAGAGAAAGTGAAAATAGCAACAATTTATTAATTGCAAAGCAATCTATCATCTTAAATACCGTGGTTATTGTGCGCGTATATGTATGTATGTATGTATGTATGTATGCATATATTAGTATATAATGAATGTGGCCGATAATTTGGAGTAAGCGTTTGTAATATAATGCATTGGGTGTGTAAGCGAGCAACATACACATTGTGTAAGCTAATTACTAGATGTAAGTACATATTTGAAATTTGACCTTCATTTAATACTATATGAAACAATTTGGATTTGTTGGTTTTTTTGCACTTTTCCAAGCTATAAAAGAGTATTATGAAATCGAGGAAATTTTTGCTACACCAAAAGGGAGGCGTGACAGAGCTCACAAAGCATATATGTATATTCTTATACCTCGTAGTACACGTTCTTGATGCAAACGTTCATAAATTACTTAAAACTTCATATTCAAATTTACTTTGGTGCTGACATTTTTGATTCAAATTTTATTTCCCTTGTTCATAGCAGGCGGTGGCAACTTTTAAGAAAATTGTGGCTTGAAAGCAATATTATTTCATTCCCCTTCTAGCACACAAGCGGCGCTTTTGTCGCTTTTTACGCAAATAAAATTAATTTAAATTGGATTAATTGTCGTTTGGAATTTTTGGGAGCGGTACTAAAAAGATTCTCGTAAAATTAATTTAAATTGGATTAATTGGACGTTATTTTGGAAGAGTTTGGGAAGCAAACAAGGTTGTTATAGTTCAAATCTATATCTATATCTAAAAAGTGAACCTGCGTAATCATTTTTAACCTGGGTACAGAAAAATGATGCCGGTTACTAAGGGACATTGGCATTGCCATCGTGTACTGTTAAATATATAACGAAACCATACTCCATTTCAGACTCATTCACAGATAAGTTTTTATCTGGCAGCCAGCTGCATCACAAGTAGTTTATTTATCTCACTTAAACGGATGCTGCCTAGGGAGACCCTTAACCATATATGACACTGATACTCTGAAACAAAATGTGTTTGATAAGGATCAGTCCCCAATCAGGGTTATGAGGAAATCAATAGACTCTGTACCCACTAAAGAGTAAAAGGTTATTATATGTAGAATCGTTCGTTGTTTTAACATTTACAACAATTCAATATGTGCTGTTGCCATAATATTAGACACACTCGTAAGTTTAATTTATTTCTGGCATATTTTGATTGAAATTGCTTTATTTTGAGTTTGGTTGGCAAAATGTCTCGAAGATATTACAAAAGAAGATTACTAACTTCATCCGACAAACTATAGTCTAATTCAGAAAATTATTAGTGATCGTAACCACTGAATCCAACATGATTGTGGAAGTCTGGGAGAAGGGATAGACAGTTTTATCTCCAGGGATGATATAATATTGGAATTAAGACGACCACGAAAACACAATGAAAACGCAATATTGGCGGGCTTTGCGCTACGATTGATGTTTCTGCTTAAGACGTGGCTTAGGTGGTGGTCGAACCGTAGCAACACGCCCTGCAAATCAGGGATTGAATTCTGAATTGCTAACACTCGAAACTTACTTTTGATTGTGGCGGCCTGATTCCGTAAACTGAACCCGACCTTCAATTGCATTGCAGCAATACTTTGGAATACTCAATTTGGAGTAAAACAAGTTATTTGTTGAGGTTACAAGGAGAATGTTATGGAATGGATGCAGAAGGCGTTCAAAACAGCACCGTATTTGTTTTCTTGCTAATTTTAACAAATGATTTGCTTAATCGAATCGTCTCGCATGCTGATTGATCATTTATGTATAACATGGAAGATTTGACCAAACACCACACACAATTTGTTAGAACAAAATATATATCGTACAAATTTATGCACATTTATCAAACCCAAAATCCTATGACACAAATACGTCCAATATCCCAATATACATTTTTAAAACTCGGGTAAGAATAGAATATACAGTTCTCGAAATATATACATAAATAATAATAATAAAAAAAAAAAAAAAACATTTAGAGTCCACCAGGCTAGCTTCTATGTGTACAATTTTTCTTTCCAAAAACATAATACCCTTTTACGTAAAATGAAGGGTCATGTAAAGCACAGAAAAGCATATAATTTCTCAAAATGCACGCTTATGCTTATAAATTGACGAAACCAAGTAAAATAATAAAAGAAAAGCAAATATAAAATTGGTAAGCAAGTAATAACATATTTTATTGTTTTGTAATGCAAAATAACAAAATAAATGTTAATATACAAACCGAATATGCGTGGCAAAAAACTCAGCAAAGCTACAGATAATCCGAAGAAAAAAATAGGAAGAAAACAAAAAGAGGAGAAGACCAAAACAGCGTTCAAAATTATACAAAAAGAATCCAATAAAAATTAACAAAAAAGAATACAATCAAAATTAAAAAAGGTTAAGTGTTACATGCACATTTATATTTTAAACAGGTTTGCATATACTATAAGACATATATACTCAGTGCAATTGTACATATAGAGGCATGGCAGACCCCACAAAGTATATTCCTATACTCTTGATCAGTATGACGAAATGATATATGCCATGTCCGTCTGTCCATAGCAGCAATAATCTTGATGCCAATTTGACTTTTACCCCCAAATTACAAATCTGGTTGTTTTTGAAACCCAATTGTGGGCGAAATTCGAATTAACGGGATGCAGAAATGTTGCCTTTCGTTTTAAATAAATAATGCTTTATGTTAGCGTTTATAAAAGCTAAATTGTGGAAAAGTGACATTATTTATTAATTTATCTATAATTATTTTCATCGATATTTGCCAATGTTGGAATGTTGGAAAAAAAAAGTCACGGACGAGCGGAGAGGGTTTTTCTCTATTGACATAGATAGGTTCAAATGATAAAGAACGTTGAAAAAAGTAGTTTTTTTAGGTTTTGTTGCAACATTCTTAAGCTTTTTTCAAGCTCCTTTCCGTCAAAAACCATTTTTATTTCTTTCTGAATAGTTGGCATCACTGATTGGTATACATGTATGTATGTACATATTTTCCTAACCCTTTAGGAAGTTCACTTTTCCCTTTCACACACACCCCGCTTCCCCCCAATTTAATGATTTTCCATAACTCGTAATTCCTGCAATTCTGTACGGTAATTTGACAATTACACACTGTGCCAATTTTCGTCGTGATTTCCCTCTCAACTCTGAAAAAAAAGATTCTCAAGAGTTGGCTCCGCACAACTCTAACATAACATTAAAGTGAATTAATGAATAAAACAAACAATAAAACACTGGGATTGTGTCTTATAGTACTAATAGGGTACAGTAGGAACTTCAATCAAATAACAACAGTATGAGCAATTATGGGCCAATTTATAAATAAATTCGCTTCAAGTTGTCCACGAAGACGACCTCCTATATTATCCGAACTTTGGTGTTGTGATTGGGCTCTGTTAATAAGCTAATATTTATATTATAGTTATCCTTCAACAATCAATTAAATTAGTCGATATTAGCACTTTTCAAAAATGAAAATATTTGTTTTCGAAGGGAAATGCTCCCGCGCAAAGCAAAAACGAGATGGACGCTGTCAATGGACTCTGAATTTAAACGATGAATGACGTCTGACGAAAACAAAATTCACAAAATGGTTCTGAACGAACGCCGAATCAAAGTCAGGGAGATAGTTGAGATCACCAAGCTGTATTAAGACCGCGTTTTCCACATTTTGAATAACGGATTGGATATAAGAAAGCACGTCGCTCATTTTCAATGAAATGTGCCATCCCGTTAGCAGTTGCCATGGAAAATTTCGCTTTTAACTGCTGCAGCACCCTTCTTACTCTGCAGACCTAGCTCTAGGATATTATTTTCATCCAAAGAGGAGGCTATTACATTCGTAAACAATGATTTTGAGAAACAGGACGGCGAATACTATTTGGAGGCGGGAACAGCACTCTTCCAGTGTATTGACTTAGAACGAAAATAAAAATAAACATTTTTTAAGACAGTGAAGATAGAAGCATTTAAGTGTTTCGAACACTGCACCCATAAAGTAACATGGAAAAATACTACGAAACATCGAATTTTGTTACACAAGCAAAAAAATTGTTATTCTAAAAAGCATATGTGCCCTTTCACCCTGGCCGGTTTCGTACAGGATATTTTAATCACGCAGCTATGGGAACTTGGGTCAAATCTTTATCGTTGTGTTTGCATACAAATTGGTGCAAAATTGCAAAAGAAACTGTTATGTCAGCTCGAAAGTCCAAGTATGTATGTATATAGAATAGAACGAAAGGTGCTGCTGCACTTGGCCGACGTTGAGGAAGGAAATAGGCAAAGAAAGGAATGCTAGGTGTTGACTAAGGATTAGGGGATGCGATTTCGCAAATTTCTCTCGTCATAGAGATATTTTGTACATTCTTTCTTTTGCTTTTAATACGTGTCGCCATAATCCAAAACATATACCCTTTATTCCCTACAGATACCAATGATAAAAACAAGCAAAACAATTAATATTTCTCCGTTGAATTTGGACATGATTGAGGGGACGAACAATTTACGGAAATAAACTTTTAAGCACTGGACGATATGAGTGAGCTATTCGAGCAAAACAGTATACATATGTAATATATCTGCTATACGATTTTATAAATTATTGTGTAGTTTAAGGTGATGCTTAATTTAACAACATAAGTCTTTATCCATGCGACGAGGGCCGGCTGTGAAAAACAAATCTTTACAGTATGTACTGCTTAGTTATGGTTGTTGTCCATTTGATTTAACTTAGAACAGCAATTGTCTTTTAACAATGTATATAAAGATCACAAGTTTCCGGCTGCAGAAAGTTCATGAATAAGACCGCGTGTAGTATAGTTTCGTTATACATTTTAGGCCATATATAGACCGAATCGTCTCATGATGATCATGTTGATATATAGAGCATGGGACTGCCATTCTACATTTTGGATGATGAATAAATTCTTCTTTCTAACCTACGCTACTCTAGCAATCTAGTGCCGTCCTTTTCGCTCCCTGCAATGCAATGTGACAGTGACTAGAGTGGGCGTTACAGCGTACTTTAACATCTGACGCATGAGTTGAAAGTCCGGCTTTATCATCGCAAAGCGTCATGACTGAATTTCTAATTACATCACCGACTTTTTTTAGCCTGAAGAGAGACCGACGGACTTGGCTATATCGATGGGCCTCGGCATGCAGATCGTTTCTATGACAGCTAAATTATTATATAATTACTTGTTTGAAATAATTCCTAGTCGGGCAAGTACATAATCGTGCAAGTTTCTATTAAATGGGGTCTGCCACGCCTGCATCTGGGCGTTACAAAAATCAGACCAAAGGGTTGCAATTCAAAATAGGTCGCGACTCATCGTCTACATTGGCAAAAGTGTCTGTAACGTCCAAATTAAAACAATGGAGGAGTAAACAAATTATTTGTTAACATGTTGAAATAGTTAATGATTAGGAGCTTCAAGCCCTAAGCAACAATTTGTTTGCGTTAGATCCAAAAACGTTTATATATGTGAGTATTATATAGAATGGAATGTGCTTTTTGGTGTTGTTCGCTAGTCATGTGTTTAAAACAAAAGTCAAGTTAAAGATAGCACACACCCACAGACATACACATACGCAGGATGACAGATCACATACCTTTCATAATGCCCAAATTTTGTATCACCATATGACCCTTTCGAATAACTTGGTTACCAAGCTGCCGGGTGCCGGTCTTATTTGCGTTTTCAGATTTATTCTGAGCACTAAAACAGAAAAGTACAAGCTATGAAATGGATCCATCATCCTATTGTACCTCGATAACATACTTGGCGAACCCAATAAAATCCTCATGGTTAGTATTCATATAAGCCAACTCGAAGTCAATTAGCAGCAGAATTTGCTCCTTGCAGCGCTGTTCGCGCTGACGTACGTGCGTTGCTATGATCCGCTCAGTTTCCTCGCGTAAGCGCGGATAGCGAGACATCTGCAAATCCAAATTAGAAATGGTGAGAGGAATAGGTTATATTGGGAGAGACCGCCATACCTTATCGGTACACATGCGCACAACCACAGACAACTCCTGTACGACTAGATCCACACACTTGATGACCGGCTCCTTGAGAAGAGCGATTTGACGCTTAACAATAGCCTCAAATGCCATATCGGGAGTGAAGAGACCAACACGAATACCATGAATGTTACGAATGGCAAATGAAATCTCACGACGCAGCTCCTTTTCATCACAGGCCATTTTGACAATTTCGAAGCGTAGACTGAAAGCAGAAGGAGAAGAGCAGACTTGGAAATATATACATATATGTATTTGTACACTCTACAGTATCGTCGTGTATTTTGTATTTAGTGCCTTAAATATTAGAAACCTTACAAATCGAATCCTTCAATGCGATGGTTGCTCGAAGTGTAATCCCACTTAACTGCTGAACAAATGTGAATATAGGAGCGATATCGAACTCGAGGTTTCATTCTTAAACAATATCACTCGGAGCACTGCACTAGATTGTGTAAAAGAGACGTTAGAGTGCGAGCGAGAAAAAATACTAGTGTTATGAAGACTGGGTGCATCGAAATTACGCAGCATCCTTATCGGTAGTAGAACAGTTTTCTTTTTAAGTGAAATGTCTTTGAAGTGTGCAAAATGGGAACGAAAAGCTAAAATATTTGTTACTATTATTTATTTGCAACACTAGTTTGTCTGTCTTTTGCAAATGTTCGATGTGTTTATGTTGCCCATTTTAGTGTTTACGGTTGTGTGTGCCATTTCTTAAAACTAAATAGTGCCAAGAGCGGGAATTACTCAAACATCTCACTTGTCAGAGTTGAATTGTTGCTTGAAATTGCCGTTAAATGTCATTGACGCCTCGCTTGCACCAGTTAACAACACATTAGATAAGGTTTCTATTGTTGACTATTCCACACGTCCTATTTAGCATTTAAATATATGTTTTCAAAGAGCTGTTGCTAGAAATATTTCCGACACTGTCCAATATTGATAAAATATCAGACCTATTGTGAAAAGAAAAGCCTTCACATTTAGGCTCATTAACATTTCATCTACCGGTTTAATGTAAAAAAAAGATTTAATTAAATAGTTCACAGGTCATGACCAAAGGGGAATAAAGAAATCGAAAAACTTCCCCGCTAATCTTAATTCAATATAACTGATATGAGATATTTTAAAATATCAAGTCTCTTTCAAAGTGCTTGCCAAAATAGATGTCTATTTCGCTGGAGGTATGCACCACAGAAGTACATTATGACAGCACACTATGACAGATTGTAGGGAGATTTAACTCAAGCTTTGCGTATAACGCTTTCTTAGAACCAGAACGTTCAAATGCATACATATAGTATAACATAAATCAGTACATATGCAATTTGCGGTGGCTTCAAAAGTAAACCGGCCTAAATTTCTTCTGACAACTACATCGTTTACGAAACGGTTAAAGACTGCTGATTCTCACACAATATCTGCTTGCAGTAATAACTATATAGCCTTAAAATATAGAGGAAATGTTTATACGCTCATACGGAACTTGGCTAGATCGAATCAGCTTATCATGCAGATCATGAAAAAGGCAAATAACACATGACTCTAATATTTGCAGGCGGATTATTATTTGTATATTTGTAGAGCTCAAGGTGAGCCGATTTTCTCGACCACTATACACATCCTATACATATCCTCATTGATTTTTACAGATGTTTTAAAGCTGTCGATTCTAAATATCAAAAAGTTCTATTTTGATGAGGAGACTACGATTTTTTTTAAAAATATATTTGTGTTTTTTTTTTAGTATTTTTTAATGTTATGGACAAATAGTGGACTAGCGGTCTTCTATTTTTCGTATTCCAAGCTTCTCCGGCATGCCAAATTGTTTTAGGACTGTTGGTATCTAGCGCACTACACTTTAACACGACCCTGTACTAGGGCTAAATAACTGCCGTATTCTTATTGTGGGTGTCAGAGGAACATGCTATAGCTAAGCGGTAGCTGACCCTCCGATACACTGCTAGAAAAAGCTTCAAGCACTTACCGCTCGTGGAATATGCGGTTGATCTTGGCACCGCCCGAAAGCTCATTTGTATTGACCAATGCTGAACCGGAGCCCTCAATTGTGCGCTCAAAGTCCGATTGCAACTGCTGTATCATTCTGAGCAAAAGAGACGAAGATGTGAAAACTATGCGATTAAACAGACTAACGATTACTTACTGCAGCATAGCCTTTGTTTTAATACTCGCATCTCCGGGTTGAAAATGTTTAAACTCCTCAACCTCCTTCTCAAGTGTTAACATTTGCTTCTGCAGTTTGTCACGCAGACCGGGCAATGTATCGCGAATATGATTGGTCAGCTGCTGATTTAGCACGCGCTGTAAATATGGAGTGCCGAGGCGATCGGCCATATGGCGGTACGAGGGATGACTCAAGAAGAATTTACGCTCAGCGGCCAGCGCAGCGTGAATATCCTTACGCCCCTCAATGTCTTTTTGCGAACGGTTGACAACGCCAATATAGCCGCGCCGCAGAGGCAAAAGCTTATTCTCCAGAATATCACGCGCATCGGTGCCCTCGTCCATGAGATCCAATTTCGTAATGACACCAATGGTACGCACACCCTGTGGGTCAACCTCTTTTGCCAGTTTCAAGGCATCGGAATTAGCTAGATCAGTATTTGCTGGTGTTACGGCCAGAATGAGACAAGTTTCTTTTCGTATAAATTGGAATATCATCGCTTTAATTTGCTGCTCAATATCGATGGGCTGGTCACCGATGGCTACTTTTGTCAGACCTGGCAAATCGATCAGCGTCAGATTGAGCACATGCGGCGAGTAGACGCGCAAATTAATGGGAATGTTTGAAATGCCCTTATTACTACCGGTCACACGATCCGTTTCATCTTCGATCTCTTTCCGTATCTCATCGAAGCTTGAGAACTTTTTACCCTTACAGTGCAGAAACTCTCCATATTCTGTAGGGGAAAGAACGAAAGGGTTATTCCTGATGGTTTGTCTACAATGACTTATTTCAATGACGCTTACCTGTAATGCCATTGATCAGTTGCAAGATCAAGGGTCTGCGGGTAACAATACCAGAGCCACGAGGCAGAAAATCTCTGTAATATATTACAAATAGTTCGTTAGAGCCAAATAGTAAAAATAAAATAGTAAAACGTTCGGCTTTGCCGAAGCTACATATATTGCTCTTCACAATATCAGTTTATTGAAGGACACCTGATGGATACAAATCGTGGCGATGGCAAGAAGGAATTAAAGTTTTCAGGAATATGATAATCTGAGCGTAATAAACTAGGCCATTGTGCCTCCTCCGCCCCTCCCAAAGGTCTATCTGAAGCCACATTCGTAAGCGGAGGGCCCAGTCAAGTGGCGAACTTTTCTTTTTATTGTTATTTATTATTTACTGACTCAAAAAACTTGTGCGCGTTTAGAAAACTAAGCACGAAAGTTTTTTAAAGCATCTTAATTTATTTTTTTTTAGATAAAACTGTCACTTCAACATAGCCATTTCTTGTGTAATAATAGTTACGCCTACATAAAACAACTTAAACCTGCTTCCTTCCTTTTGGACCCTTCATAATTTTCAGATTTATCCTACATAAAACAACTTAAGCCTGATCCCTTTTGGACCTTTCAGATTTTTTCCCAAATGTATTCAGAGAAATGAAAATGTGTGCAGCCTCTCCTTCATCAGAACGGAATGTTAAGTGCACCTCAAAGAGAGATCTAAGAAACTACTAAGGAAAGCAAACCAAACAATTTTTGTGTGTACAAATCAGTAGTCAAAGTCTGACCCTAGTTTTTGAACAACTGTATCCAGAGTAAGGTTGATTTTCTAATAATTAGTGTAATAAATTTGTAAAAAATAAATTTGATCATATTTATAATAATCCATGATTTTAAAAAATGGGAAGGGTCAAAACCTGCTTGCAATTAGTAAAGAGCGAAGACGAAAGTAAAAGGTAAGATTAAACCAAGAATAAGATTCGGAAGGTTATGGGTTATGAATAGGGTTTTCTCTCTTCTTCTCATGTCTTTTTATTACATTACAGTTCTGGTGGCATTCGTATTACCAATTTGAAACTAAGCCAGACATTAATAATATCCTCCAATTGAATGACTAGAATGACTAGCATTCAAAAATAGTCCAAATAATATTGGCTGAATTGATGATAAGCTGCTTAGGTAATATCGTCAGCTTTGAAAGTGTGTTACAGGTGTATTATTACGGGACTTATATAGGCTGTGAAGGATAACAACACTATTCAAGCTGTCGGCTACAAATTTGGACGTATTTTTACAAATCAATCTCACTGGAATTCCGGTATGGAATAGTTTACTTCATTGAATATTTGAAAAATGCCTTTACTCAGAGATGCCTGTTCAAGTCTTTGAAATGGGGCCAAAAGCGTAAATAAGAAGAGCATTAAATATATATGTCTAAGCATTTGCAAGGATACAATCGCCGACTCCCCCTCCCAAGGAAAGGAACGAGCAAAACGGATGGCGCACATACAGGACCAACTGTCAATATTATGTAAGCTCGCACACATACATATACACAAAGACGCACATTCACATATACACGTACATACTATATATTGTATATACACATACATTTCCATGTGCATGTGTTAACTGAGCTACAGATAGGACCTTTTAAAGGATTGTGCTGTGACCAACATTATGTAACACAGAAATGCTGAAGAGGCGCAAAATACAATATAAAGCTTAGCTTTGTACATATGTATGTATGTATATAGTATGTGCTTGTTGGTGCCAGTAAAGAAAACAATTTTAAATTTCACCTGCATCATTAAATCAAAGATTTAAACATTAATATGTATGTATGTATACACATATGTACATATGTATGTACTCATATACATACATATGTAATAACAATAATGCGCGCCTGGCGCTTTCAAAATGTCAGCATGTATTGATTTTTTAGCTATCACAACATTATTTTGGTTGTAACATTATATAACAGAGTAAATCTGTAAGAGGCTAGAATAAAGATAAAAGCGTCGACAGCTACACCGACTTCTCTAAACAAAATAACAACAACAATAGAAACAAGCATACCAATAGACTTTAACATTACAATACGCAAAAATGAGTTTCGGAATAGTCCAGGATAGTGCCGTGCGTTGGTTGGGGCATGCGGAGCAGATGCATGTGTCTGCGATTTGTATCCGTGAAGCCATTTCGCTCTCACTGCGCATCTACGTCACGAACCGTGATGCCATGCGAGTGAGGAAGCACGCGATACATGTGCTACTCATTCTTTTACTGCCTAACTGAAACAGCTGTTTCTAGTTTATATGCATACATATGTACATACATAGTATACAAAAGAATGCAACGTTGTGCTTCCAAGATCTTAGGTATACATATAGGAGAGGAGACTATGCAAATTTTCTAAGTTTCAAAGTTATATAAGTCTGAATCTATATAGTATGCGCAGAGCAGCAGAATCAATTATATTCATCGCTTCGTAAATTGGTTTTTTTCCTCTTTTTTGTATCATTTGAGGGTCTGGAGTGGGGTTATCGCGTCCGAAGTAAGCAAATATTTGTGGTAACGGTAGGTAAATAAGCTTCGAACAATGATCCAATATTAAGCTTTATTTTAAGTTTGGCGACACTTTTACCGCAGCAAGTAATTATGTATGTATATGGATATGATTATTCATGCCGACCCTGAAGCAAGCATAAATTAATTATATAAGGTTTGTTCGACACAAATAAATTGACGATAAACGGACATTGATATACGAGTAAATGCTGGTCATGCCCCTATCTGGGTGTTACATATGTATCTATGTTTATCCTAATTCGGTATGCACTTTGTACTCCTTGCATGGTACTGGGTAAATAAACAAGCAACAATTGACAACCCAATCAAGATATATTCCCTCCTTCGTTTATAATTTTAAGAGAAAATAAATAATAACAGTTGTTATTTCGAGGTTCCGTGGAATTCTGCTTAAGCCTTAGCTAAAAATGATCTGGAATTTTTTTAACAAAACTACTTATATTGAATAACTGACCAAAATAAGATGCATACACTACAATTTATTAGATTTTTTAAATAAATTATTTTAAATCATTTTATATCGGTCGACCAAAAATTGTAAAAACTGTATCCACATACTTAATTTATCTATAACAGCAGGTGCTTTCGGCTGCTTTTCTGATAAAACATGCATACAATACAGTCACTAACATTTTTTGAGTCAAGAATACAAACAGATAATTCTACCCAAAGCACATTAACAACGCATCGATTTGGATGCGGAAATTATCCACTCTATTTAAGTCTGTACGTGAGAAACTATAATCTCCAGTCTTCTGTAAATACGCCTGTTGCCATTTAAGTACATAATTCACATTAATTGCTGTTGAGAACATATTTGGAAAATTTTCAAATCAACTGGTGTTACGTTAAGTGTCAATGAAGGAATGTTTTGAAAATGGCTCTATTGTTAAACCAGAAAAAGAATGTACTTGGTGGTGTGGATGTATATAAAAAACATCTATAAGGACACTGATTATTATTAATATGATATTAATTTAACTAGTTTTTACTTCAAAAATATTAATTAATAAACGAAAACAATGCGCCCACTCTGACATTCCATTCTTGCTTTTAGGAGGAAGTTTGTAGCCCCCAAAGAATAGAAGAATAGCAGTTAGACTACATGTTATAGATAACAAAATTATCACTACAACGACATAAATCCATTAAGCATTCTGTCTGTCCATCGGACTACTACTCACAACCCCTTCCACAGTTTGTAGCAGGGAAAGAGATACAAATTTGTAACATAGAGTGTAAAATTGACTATTTTGAAAAGTACGAGGTTGTTTTGATGGGTCTTTACAAATCTTGGGAAATTGAGTTTTAAATTTTGATTATTTCTAATAATCACAACCGTTTAATGGAATGCTGTCAAATTTATACGAGTATCGATTTACATTCTGAGGTTTCAATTTATTAAACGATATGGGATTTTATGATTATTTAGCTACTTATACTATACTTAGGAAATGTAATTCCTGCATTAAAACAAATTCACTGCTTCAAACGTTCCACAACTGGTAGCAGTATAGAACACAAATGTTGGGAATGTACCCTTCCGCCTGGAAAGAAATTATTGACATTGTCCACAATATGAAGTTAAAGGTCCTGCGAATGAATAGGAGCGAAAAGCATATCACTCGGATAAGGCATTTCTATTTTGCGGGAAAACTCGTGTGTGCAAAAGATAGCTACAAGATGGATCTCGATTTTAAGAAAAGTGGTTGCACAACTTCTAGAGGAAAACTAACTGGTAAATGGAGAGTATTATAAATAACTATTGTTACTGAATAGTATAAATAAATTCTTAAATTCTTCATCCTGCTTTCGACTACAAAAAGCTTCTGGGAAAAATGATCAATTCGAACATGAAGATTATCTCCAAAACACATGCCTATTTTGAGTGTTTTTGGTAAAAATATTCTTGTTTTCAGGCCTTAAAAAAGGTGAAGTAATGCTGGACTCACTGTCTCGAACCAAATAAAAACCCTATTGCATAATGCAAAATAATGTGTTTCTATTTATTTATAAAGACTTTTTGAACTAACCACCCGCCCCCAAACGAAATTGATTTATTTAGCATAGATAATAGATGTTTTTTTTTGTAAAATGTACTAAACATGTAAGCTTAACTAATGCTTTAATGATTGGTAAGGAATGTCTAAAGTAGACATGAATGCCGAGGCTGATAAGAGTAGCCATGGCTTACAATCCAAATTATAATATATAAATTATATACAAGCCAATTACTCGTTAACGTGCAGTAAAACCATGCACAGGTTGCATAATAGGGTGAGGGGACGCAATTTGTTATATTGAAAATGGTCCGTCAGGCCAACTCATGTGGCCTGTGGTTGAGGGTTAAAGTAGTTGTCAAAATTCAGGTGTTCATCCAGACAAACAGACTATGTTATGCACCTATTCCATACTTTGCACAAAACTTATCAATTTACCGGTTCATCCTTCGGATACAGAATACATAGAGTGTTTGAAAAGATAAGGAATTGTATATGGAAAACGAAGCTGAGCCTTGTTTTTAGCTCGCTTAGATTAATTTTGTAAGAGTAACATTTGGATACAGGGACCCGATTTTCTCGTGATTTGTTTTTATTTATAAGTGTTTTATGGCAATGACATTTCTCTTGGATTATAATCCAATATCGACCCTATGAAAAGAGACACTATTGTGAAACTGAGTTTTTTCTATGCGTGTGCGCAGCCTTGTGGTAGGTGGTTGTGATTGTTATTCTGGACATTTATACATCTATTTGGTTTTTAAGAATTCAAACTGGTGTGGTGAGGGGAGTAAGAGAGCGAGCAGTTGTGAGGTATCTGAGTGCCATCAAATACAAAGGACTAATCATTAACAACGATTGATTATCCATTCAAGAAACCAAACTAATATTTTGTATCATTGATTATTCCCAAACGTACATACACACTCGTGAGAAAATGTGAGAGCGCGCAATAGTGACACACATACTTGTACTCGTACACTCAGGTGAAAATTATGGATTTTCCCTTCCACGAGTATTTGTAATTTTTGTCAAAAAAACTTACTTGCCAACAAAATTCTCCAGCACTGAACTTTTGCCCGCCGATTGTCCGCCAACGACAGCAATTTGTGGCAAATCCAGTTGCATATGAACGCCCAGCGATGTAAATGCATCCTGTAGCTTATTCACAATCGGAATCAAGTTATCCATGCTGACGCCTTTAGTTTGCTGGGTTTATTTTGATACTGTTAATTTGTATATTTTTTGAAATTACTGATTGCGACCAGCTCCGACGCCCAGGCAACTGGCTCTGCTGTTGTTTGCAGCTTGCACTTGCTGTAGCTACTGCGGCTTTTTTTTAACTTATTGTAGTGTCATGCAACAAAATAGCTTCTTGTGTTTAAATTATTGTTGCTGTTCTTGTTTTTGGAATATAAAAAAAAATTTAGAAAAAAAACAACAAATAAATATCACAAATTTTATTAAGTTCCCAACAGCAGCACGAACACTCCCAACGAAACATTAAACACAACGATAAGATGGTGGCTTTGTGTGCTGCTGACGATGATTGCGATGACGATCCGATGCTGACGCTGAATGGGTTTTGAATATTTTCATCTGTTCATTATATGTATTTAAATTAGTTTCTTGCAGTGTAGCCAATGATTCACATACACACTTCGGAATATGGGCACTTTTTTTTGGTTCCACTTATCTTGCATAAAATATATACTACGCGAAATTGATATCATTTGAATTCAAAATAAAATGATAAAGAGCAATGTGAACGATCAGAACGGTGTGATTTTATAAGCACTGTGTATATACAATGACAAACATGCACAGAGGCTTAGGCATGTGTAAAAAGCAAATATTTTTTAAAATACTAACTGCAGCCGCCGACGCAAACAACTGGCTTGGTATAGTATGTATCACTCTTCTGATACACTGTGTGACTGATTTTTGCTACTTTTTTGATGGAGCAGGAGCGCAGCCAGTAGCAGCATTTACTGTTGCAAATTGCTAGGTGCGCGCGCCGTCTCTACGAGAGAGCACAATGCCACAGCGAGCAACCAAAGATGTGTGTGTGCGTGTGCACTTGGGTCAGGCGCATTTAAAAGATATGGAATTGATACAATTTTATGGATTTTTTCGGGGCTGTCGCTGTAACAGCAAATCTCCTTGAAACACAATGTTCACATGCATATACATATATGTGTAGTCACAAAACTTAAACTAATGCACGGAGCTTAATTAACCACATAGGCCACTGCACAATGATATTATCGGGAATATACTCCAGCATTTACACACACGCACGGCCGCAGTGCGGTATTAGTCACAGGGTACCGCCCTTGTTTAATCAAATAATAAATATATTCCGAGTAGTAAAAACGTTTAAATACAACACTCTAAATTTATCGTAGTAAATCTGTAAAATGATTACAATTTACGCACAAACGCGAAAAATTAGGTTTTCCTAGCGGTGTAAGAAATACATAGATGAACCGATGTTTTATATCGGGTGTATTTTCACGATATTGTTGACACCGATAGCATATTCAAATTGGGATGAAATAATCTATCGTATTCGTCTTTGCACAGCGTGAAGTTGGTTGCGCTGCAAACAGCTGTTTGTGCTGTCAAATGTCAAACGCAAAGCGGAAGTTACTTGCTTGTGTCAAAGTGGCGTCAGAGTTCTTTTCGTTTTAAGGTCTCCTGAGCGAAAGTTGTGTTTTTCGGTGCATTTCACGTTTCGCGTCAAAATCTAAAGACTTAAAGTGAGTATTCGCAAAAAAAACTGAAGAATACGAAAACAAAAGCTTGTGCGCAGTTTTAAGCTGCATAATTATAGCAAATGCTGCAGTGATGGTGGCGATTTATTAGGATTTGATTTTGTTGCAAACCGTTGTAGTTGCCATCATCACTTCAAACAATAGTGCAAATATAGTATTTGCCACCAATTTCTGCCTTAATTAACGTATATTTCTCTCTGTTTTCTAGCATGCGTTACGTGGCTGCATATTTGTTGGCTGTACTCGGTGGACAGGAAAGTCCCTCCAATGCCGATTTGGAGAAAATCCTCAGCTCGGTTGGTATTGAGGTTGATGGCACTCGCCTCACCAAAGTCATCAGTGAGCTCAAGGGTAAATCCATTGACGATCTGATCAAGGAGGGCAGGGAGAAGCTCTCTTCAATGCCTGTCGGTGGTGGTGCTGCCGCTGCTGCGGCACCAGCCGGTGCTCCAGCCGCTGCCGCTGGTGCAGACAAGAAGGATGCCAAGAAGGAAGAGAAGAAAGAGGAGTCCGAGTCGGAAGATGACGATATGGGCTTTGCTCTGTTTGAATAAACCAGCATCTCTACTTCAGTCGTATATAAACGTGCTAAAACATGCAGCCACAACTGCTAGCAACAGTTGCACCATCACCACCAATAACTTGATAGGTGAGTGACGATTTCTTGTCCCTATTGTACTGTTTTGGCACCAAACTCTGATGATTAAAACTTTCACCATCTTTCGACTGAATATTATGATGCTCTATAAGTTTTTGCTGATGTTTTCCTGCCATACAGTATGCATGAAATGTTGGGAGAATTCCATATCAACGTTAACTAAATACTTCTCTTTCTTGCAGGTCGTCAGCAAAACATCGCATTGGAACAACGACGATCCACTTTAAATGCTATTCAAATTTTGTTTTCACAACTGAGAAAATATTAAAACACAAATTTTGAAACATTCAAGCATTTATTTCTGTGAAATAAAAATGTTCAATGTTTACACGTTATATACAAAAAAGATTACGCCCCATTTCTAAATTATGTAGCTCAGATTTATTGTGTAAAATCGGTTCAGTTTGTAACACGCAGATTCAACAAAACGCATATTTGTTCAGTGTGGGAAGTCGATCTTATGTGTAGAATAACTTTCTGAAACTACAGATCCTGTTCTATGTACAAAGCACATTTTCCACAATTAGTTTCCACCCTTTTTATGGTTAAAAGAACACTCGCACTTTTTTAAATGAGTAGATCTTGCACCTTTCCAGATGCTGTCGTTATTTTACAATACATAGAATTGATATTTCGAATTTTCTATATATGTAGGAGCATTATTTCATGGAACTTTTTAAAAGTATTGCAACAAGTTTGCAGACGTATAGTGTATTTTATGTTTGGTTTGATATTTGTTAGGCCCAGAGAAAACTGCGGCAGACCACGTGCTAAACGTGTATACATATGTAAAAGATTGCAAGTCTTCCTATTTCCAAAAAATTCGGTTTTACGCAAGGAGAGACATAATATATATTTAAAGACGGATTAATTTGACGAATAGATTGAAACAATGTATAAGTACATAAGTAACTGACTAGAATAGACGATACATGTGGTTACAATAGATAAATAAGCATAATATCGCATTAGATCTTCGTCATTGCTTGAACAGAAGACTAAAATATATTTCTAACGGTGAAAGGAATATATAATTTTTAATACTCATCAGTACAAAAAATAATAACCAATCGGCCAAAGGGTGCTCTCTCTAGGTAGACCGCACCCCTTCTAACAAGAGAGAACAAAAAAACGTTGTTCAGTAAGTGCAACAAATCTTATTAAATCTCTAAGTAGAAGAAAGGTTTCCTAAATCGATTCTGAAAGCAATAATAATCTGGTTATAATAGCCAGAGAGCTTCCCGGAATCTGGAAAAATGAGAGGAGAGGTCAGTAGGTTTTGTAATCTCGATAGTACTCTGGTTATTAAGCACATTTTGGACAAATTGGGTTGAGGAGTGTCACAAAATCAGTTGCATGGTAAGGTAGCATACTAACAACTTCCAAAAGTATGCTAAAAGATATAGAGGGTTTATGACATACGTTTGCACAGTGGTAGCTATTTTATGAGATGAGAGGCTTTCTACATACATGTTTCCTATAGCAATATATGTATGTAGTTATTTCATATTTAATTGATGTGTCCACTATGTCATATACTCAGGTAGAGAGAGCTGTTAGCGCGTTACCTTATATTTTGTACTAAGCTCTGAAATATGTGAATTATGCTAACTTCTTAGTGCTATTTATATGTATATATATTTACCGGTTCAATTTTATAAACCAAAACACAATGCATTTACACTCTTCTTCCACTGCCACCGGATACTGTACATCTGTCCGAAAGGTAGCTATAAGATGAGACGAGTTAATTCCTCTTCATAGGCGTATATTTTTTGCCTTATATCAGTTAGACATTCAACCACACTTTTATTGACTTTCACAGATACTGTCCACTCCGCAGACCGTGTAATGAAAAATCAAGTTAATATGTTTGTTTTTATTTATTCTATTTACATTATGATTAAGTTTTGGGTTATCCTACTTATATATTCTAAAATGTTCCTCTCCGTCAACAACATTTAAGCGTTTTGTTTAAGCTTGGAGTTTCCAATAGGTATTTGCTCGTATGCCTATTATTCAGCAAAGTATTTGAGCTATCGCTCTGACTCAACCAAGAGCGGCAGCTTCTCGACGGAATTATCATTCCGCGATCTCTCCCTGTCTTGCTGAAGTTGAGACCGATCCCATGCCTGCTTAGATTTCATCATTTTTCTTAAAACTTTGCTCATTATTAGCCTATGGTCAAGGCCCAGAACATCATGACGCATTTCAGGCAAAGTATACAGAGCATCTCCACTTTCATTAGGCACTGGGCAGGTTGCCGAATTCCCATAGAACTCGTATCGAGCCGTTTGTGTCACATCAAAGCTTTGCAATGGCTCCACTACTTCGCCCTTCTCTTTTTCAGACTGCAATATAAGCTCCAAAGAATGGAGCTTGGTTTTACTTTTGTCGCGCAAGAATTTAATACGCGGCACCTCTCCCATTAGCCTTAGCTGGGAAAGCTCGTGTCGCAGCATTCCACTGCAACGTTGCAAATCCGTCTCAAGGGCTGCGTCCTCTTGTAAATTGCCGCTGCCTATCCAGTACACATTGACACAGGAAAAATCAGGTGATGTTTTAACTAGTGATATCTGTAGGCCACGGCCAACTATAATATCCGCCGCCTCTCCTGTGGCTAACAGATCTGTAATATGTGCCATGAATAGCTTATTCAGGACCGACATGCGACGAGTGTTTTGCTTCGGACCGGAAGCATTATTACGACCGCTTTTGCCGAATTGTGAGGCTTGGAAGACTACGCTGGGCGGCTGGAAACCAGTGGATCCGCTGTTATTAACATCAGTGCTGGGATACCAACGCTTTTTGCTGCCGGCTATGCGATTTCCAAAAAGTTTGGAAAAAATTTTGCTTTGCCGTGACAAACTGTTACCAAAATTACTTTTGGCACGTGTATTGGACAACTGCAGTAATAGTACACGGTTAGATAACATATTTGTGCACTAATAATGGTTTGTTTTTATTTAAATCTGTGAATTTAAGAGATGTAACAAATATCGATATATCCAACATCGAACATTTTTGATTGTGCGGCTGTGAAACCTAAATAATTTATGGTAACATTGCCAAGTGTTGTTTGCGTTGTTAAAAATATATTTACATACATACATATGTATATGAAAACTGCTATGGCAATAATACATTGGTGTACTTGCAATTCTTTTTTACGACAATGCCATTGTGTTTTGTATGTAATATTAATGGCCAGTTTGCAAAACTAATAATTAAATATGTATTGAAGGAGAGTTTTTTTAAACCTTAAGACATGCCTATAAGACAATTAACCTAGTATTTTGTGTTTTTATGTGCATTACCATAAAAAGAGCTAAACAAAATCTTGTTGCTTAATATATGCCAATCCCCTGTATAGACGGTGGCACCTTTTACAAAAACGGCAAAAGTTAAAGTTTTTACTTTTTTCAGGCCGCATTCTTAACAGTCTAAGTATGAAGTCTAAGTACAGATTAAAGTGAACGAAACGACCGTTTAAAAAAATAGACCAACAAAATAAAATACCAAAAGAAAGCCCAAACAGTTGTTGTAAAAAATTCTCGAACACCGCAGCATTCGAATTTCGCTTTTGCGCTGTTGTTAAATCAAACATGTACGTCCTGCTCACCCAACTTTTGTTGTTACAAATTTCTTTAAAAACAATTTTCATTCAGCAATGTACCAGAAGGGCTAACAATTCGATAATCTTACCGCAAAATGTGACAGACTACTTAGGTTAGTATATTTTTTATTAAGTGGCGCACTATTATCTGATATTTCTTCAAAATCGGCTTACAATGTCTACTATATATACATCGAACAAAAATTACTCTTTTTTCAAAGAGATCGGGTATAGAAAAGGTGTCTGCTTAACCATACGAATACCATTATTTATAAAAATAATTTATTGTTTAATAATCGGATATTATTATTTATTTGGTTCTCTGGGAGAAAAACAAACAATTCTTTATAGCTTCCAAATGAAACAAGAAACGAATATGGAAATTAAATATTACTAATTTAAAAGCCTGTTCAACGAAATACTTGTATATATAAAATCGTTTTAGCTTAGGGGGCTTTCTGTGGCCTTGTCGGTAAGCAACGGTAAATGTATGTACATAAATTACTAAAAAACGTATTAATAAGATGATGGTTGGTGATTGCTGAAGTATGAGGTACGACAATACAATATTTTTAACATTTGTTCTGTACTCGTATTATCGTTGCAGTTATATCGGCTATTAAATATGATGCCCAAAATTTGTAGACCTAAAGTGTTCAATTGTTTATGGGGCTTTTTATGTATGAATGTATGCGTAAACCTTTAAATTTTTTGTTGGATAAATACAGAAATCAACAGGTGAGTATGCCTTCAAGGGACTATTTTTAATTAACTTCAAGTTATACAGTATCGATGACAAATAAATAGCATTGAATAGATTAGGCAGTCTTTGCTTTATCCAGTATGAAGTTCGGCATAGAAACATGGCAGAATGACGGTTATTATTAATTATTATAATTTGTGATCGGAACGTGCTAATAAAATAGCTTCAATCAGGTTCAGTTGCAAGCATAGTTCCTAGTACTTATTTTCACTTTTTTTTTTGGGTTGCATTTGATCTGAGAAGTGCTATGTTTCATAATGATTAAAGGGCTGTGAAGGTGCTGCTATACTATACACCTTATTCTGTTTTTACACGGTATATTGGTTCCAGAAAAACCCCTGTAAAAAAAAGACACTGATCATATGCAAAAATACGTGATTGGTTCCTAAAACCTATTAAAATCAGTGAAAAATCAGGGATTTATGTAGACCTTGATGCCAGACACTGTCGAAGTTTTGTTGGGCGTCGATAAAGGCGACATGGCTGTACAGGGAGTACTCGTCTCGTCCCTGAAGGATGTGGTCGCTGTGCTCTAAGCCCGAACTGGACATTCACCAGCCTCATTACACACACTGTCAATTTCATTGCATTTTTATCATTTTTATTTAAAATATCATCTTCTTTATTTTATATATTTATATTAAACATCAGTGTAACTTCTTTATGCATTATAACATACATACATTTCCAATTTTGTCCCTGCTTGCTATGTAATGCTTGTTTTTTACACTTCCTATAAACTACTTATGCATAAATCATTGTTTATCATTATTTAATTAAAGTGTACATATGTATGTATATACATAAATACATACATATTCATGCAGATCGAGTGTCATACTACATATGGGAATTACATATTTTAATTTTTTACACATTACTTATGCGCTGGCTATGAGCCCTTCAACTATTTTAACAATTTATACTCTTTTGTAATAAGTTACATTTGAGAAGAATGTCCGATTGTAGTTTATTTATTGCATTTACTGTACACACAAGTTTCTTTTCATATTTATCTTCCATGAAAATATATATGTACATATATTGCCAGAGGTAACGGTTTTATATTTTCCTTAATGCAAGGAAAAAATTTTCAATTTTCGGTATTTTGAAAAAATGATGGTAACTTAACCTCAATCTTTTTAGAATGATAACTTTGTATGTTGGAGTAAAATCATATTGAAAGTAAGAAATGAGTAGAACGTTACAGTTGTGCCAGTCCGACTCTTGCATACCCTGCAGCCATTCAGTTGAAATAAACTTTGTTGTACCAATCATTTTTATAGCAAAGGATTATGACGAGTAACTTTACAAAACTCAGACATTCTAAAACAGATTTTTGAAAGGATTGAATCCTATGGCAGTTATATGATATAGTGACCAGATTTTGAAAACTACTAACGTAATACACAAACAAGTTTTTATTACGAATATTGCTTTGGCACCAATCCATCCTATGGTAGCCATACTCGTGAAAAATATCTATGTATATAAAATAAGTAGGTAACTGTTGTGATTTGGATGTTTTCGGTTTTCATACGGGCATGTTTATATTGATTCCTTTCGTCATTTTGAACCTATGGCGTGGGGCTTACCACACCTCCTTGTTAAATACATTTGGCGTTTAGACTAGCTAGAATACAGTATGAGCATTCGTATAATAACAGGTTTAGAAATTAAACGCACATATTAGTCCGCTTTTTTTTTCGAACGGAAAATACCAATCATCTCTTACACGGATTAGTTACTAAGTTATATCTTTTTATCTACACCCTTTGTAAAAACTCAACCGAAATATATTTTTGTTGTTTTTGGTATGGAACATTTTAAAATTTATAGAACACATGTTATAGATAGGGTTATAAATATCCTAGGATCACAACACAAATTCAGATCGCGATGTCCTATTGTCAGTTTTAATCCCACAGGCTCAGACTATCGCGATGAAACGTTTTTTAAATAGACATACAAGCGAAATTCCATATTGAGAATGTTGTTGTCTTATCCGATGGTATTATGATGCAAATTAAAAAAAAAGCCTAATAAATTATCTAAAAAATACACCAAAGGGTTATAATATTTGTACATAATAAAGTTTATAAAATAAGCAATGGGCAAAATACTTTTTAGTGGTTTTATTAAAGCAGAAAATCAATATAGCTCTCACCTGTGCCTGGCACAACTTTGGAATTGGAGTGTTACTTCAAAACATGAATTTGCAAAAGGATGGCAACACATTTATAGTCGCGATAAAAAAGGACACTTAGAAGAACCTTATACTTGTTTTGTTTTTCGAATTCGGTACAGGATTTTGAAAAGTCGAGCCCGCTCGACTCTAACATTCCATGTTATATGTTGATATTTATGGGTATAGCGCAAGCCTATTATGTTAGCTGTGTACATACATGTTATTTCGTTTGCCAATTATTTGCTTTCGTCTTTTTGCGAAACACTAATCCAATTCAGTTTCTAATAAGACTATTACTAATTGCTAATTGTGACGTATATATAAACAGTGGGAGTAGTGACGGATACCAGGGATACTGCGTTATCTATCGGATATTGAGCTTTTGGAAATGTTCTGTTGTGATCATTAAGGCAAACGTATTCGAGATACTCGAGATACTGGAATGTAACTGTGATTGTCTTTCGTCAAATAATTAAAAAAAACGAAACATTCGATATGCATAAAATTCAAAATATTTCCTCTGCGGGTCGACTTATTTCGTCACGATGACCAAGATGTATATACATTTTTTCGGATTAGAGGCACTTTAAAAGCCATCAACCTAATATGCCCTTAAAATGACAGAAACACAAGAAACTTTTCAAATATCCACTACATCTAGGATATAACCGTATGGCAATAAACATGCATCATGCATAAGAAAATACAAGATTCTTAGTTCACTTTTAGAACTAGGCGTGGTTTACTATATGAAGATGAACCTATTCAGAACTCTTTAGTTCAGTTTGGGAAATTTGTAATGTTATCTAAGCGATGCTTTACCATTTATGGACAACCGTAATACGAGTATTGGAGAGAATTTAAAGTAAACAGAGGAACGCTTTGGAAAGATCGAGAACAGGATTCTCGGGATCAGTATTTTACACGATATTTTACGTGTGAGAATGGTGTCGACCCGATGGGTGCTACGATTGTTCAGGATGGACTAAATGCCGATACGGGATTATCGCGGCAAAAACCCACTGTTCTCGCCCGAGCTGGCTTCAAATCTGGCAAAAAAAAGTGGTTCGGGGGAAAAAATAAATTTAAGGAGCATACAAGTATCTCATTCTTTTTTCCAGAACATGGCATGAAAAAGTGTATCACACTAAAAATATATCTCAAATAAAAATAAGTATAATTCAAAACTTATATCTTTATTCCTAACGCTTATTGAATTGTGATACATAATTAAGTTTATGAATGAATGGTCTTTGCTGCCTTTTCTTTTCTTATTGACAAAAAATGAAAACATTTCCGCCCGCGTACATTGTTTATGGTGCCTTTTTTGTCTTAATTCAAGAATTTATTTCGTGCATTCTATTTAGCATAAATGAAGTATAAACATATGTATGAATGATATTTTATGAGCAGTTTTGTACTTTAATCAAGTCATAAGCAAATTTATAAATTATTGTGTTTAAAGTATTGGATGTGTCTTTTGTTTAAATGCGTTAAATTATCAGACTTGCCGTGTTAAAAAAATTACGTTTTTCGTTTTGCCGGTTTTAGATAGTTTGATTTAATATCTTCTTCAAATACTTTTAATTGCATTATCGGGAATTGCCATCAGAGGGGATGGCTAAACATTTCACAAAGTTGTTCAAATTTAAGTTTTACATTCAATTACCACCATCTACTCAGTTTGGAGACATCGGGTAAAACTTAAATTTGAAAAAAATAAAATAATAATTCCAATATTATGTTAGTTACAAAAAACGTAAAATTCAAGTAGAAGTGGCGCTAAAATCAAAACCAACCAAGTACTATATTATTTACAATAAAACGATTTATACAGTGACGAATTAAAGGTAACATTCTTTAAAACGGACTTAAGCACATTTTGCGTACCCTACACTATGATTAGTGGGAGCATGCAAATTTACATTTTCGTTGAGTTCGAGCCCTTCAAAGGCCGTTCATATAGACATCCGATTCAAGAAATACAAATAAAATCGCATTAGTTTATTTTATCAGGTGATGCTTTGAGTTTAAAAGAGATTTCGTGCGAATATTTCCGAATCATTGTGGTTGGTTTTGTAGTAACTATATATAAACTGACAATGCGCGTTAAAGTAAAATGTGTAATATTAAAGCATAATTTGCTTGCTTATGCACTAAAAGTTCTTTTGTTGTTTGACTTATAGTATTTAATTATAAGTGGAACGCATTTAATCATATGACTCTTGCTGACTGACTATACTTTTTAAGTAGGTTTTTTTGTGCAAAATCATTTTCTTTCTTAGAAGTAAACATAAAATGTAAAAATAAATGTAATTATTTAATATTAGAATTTTAAGCGCTAAGAGAAAACCTAATACGACTGTGCAACAGCATTATTTGAGCAGGCGAAAATTCTAACGATCATATTATAACCTTTGGATAGAGGATATAAATATGCGCAGTGCACTTTGCGCTGGTGGATCGTGGCGGTTTGGCACATCGCTGGTAAATTATTAAACAAATTATTATAATGTATGCATACGTATCTATGTATGTATTATTAAACGTAGAGAGCTACATGCAAACGTATGTTCATAGTTATTGTAAGCCATTTGTGAAGCTTTCAAAAAATGCACATAGAAGAGGTATTTACATTTAATCAATTTACAGGGTTTATGGTTTTATAATTTAAAATGACTAATAATACAAAGTATGACATTAATGTGTGTGTGTGTGTGTGTGTGTGTGTGTGTGGTGTGTGTCGGCTGGAGGTTAAAACAATCCATGTTGTTTTTGTGTTCAAGGTCAAAAACCCAAACACGAAAGTGTTACATATTAAACACAATTATGTATTTAATCTGAAATCGTTATAATCGACTGAGTAATAATTTCATTATTCGTTACAAATAGATGACTGAAGGCAAAACATTAAATAAAAATATTCATTAATTGTTGTCAGTTTCAGTTTTCATCGTAGCCAAAAAATATCAACTTTTGCTAACGATATGAAGATATTTGCACAATCTGTATTTATACGACTGTTCGTGAAATTGTACATAAAAGACTTCAGCTATAAAATATCCCGATAGTGCAGGCTGGTAATAGTATTTACTACTATACTACACTAAAGCGGGATTTTACAGAAAGTGTGAAAATCATCTCTTTGAATAATGAAGAATTAAAGTATGTATGGATGCATGCCTTGAAAGAGTTTTAAAACTCCTGATAGTTTAACATATGATTGGGTGTGTTTAGTTAATATATATTTCTTATAACTAGGATCGATTTCTTAATGTTCGGTTGACTTAAGCAAAAAAAAAAAAAATTGTTTTTGTTAGCCATACACGCTGTCAGACACGGTATATAAACTTTTAAAAACATTTTGGCTCACTCTTGATGTACACTAGTTGTATTACAACCCTGATTCCATTCAGAATCCACAGCCGCAGAGTGTGTTCCATCGTAAGGTTAGATCATATGTGCTCGGTGCGGCTGCTGCTGCTTGAATGCAACAGCATCGCTTACCAGATGAAATGGCACACCGGCGGCCGTTGTCACCTCCCGCCCTGGCACTGTTCCTGTACCCAACTGCGTCGGCGTCAGTGTAAGCGTTGTTGATGTTGCTGTTGTCGCAGGGCTATTATTACCGCTTCCACTTGCCAGCTGTTTCAGCTGGGTTGCATCCAGCATGCCGTGTGGCAAATGATGCGCACCCGCCGTTGATAGACTACCCAGGGCAGAGGCCGCTGCCATGGTTGCGACTGCTGCCGCTGCCGCTGAAGCGGAGCCCGCATTTGTCGAGGTTATGGTACCTGTATTAGAAGCGCCACGACCGCGTTTACGCTTTGGCAAGATGCCTTTGCGTGCCATATAGAAGCGTATTGTGGAGACGGGTATGTTGAACATATTGCTGACAGTTTGAAATGTGTCGCCCTTAGACACACACTTAGCTGCCTGGGCCAGTGAGGCTTCAGAGCGACGCACGCGCTTGTATGATGTATAGCCATCGATGGAGCTATGCATTAGTGTGCCCGGTGAGTTAGCCGAGTTGTCTGGATCAGTGTCCAGGCAGAGCGAGAGATTTCCAGAGATTGTGTTACCCCCACCGGTAACCCCAGTCATGCTGCTATCGTTGTCCTCCTCGTGCGCGGCCACATAGTTGTGATCGTCTTCAATGGTAGAGTCCAAGTGATGCTGTTGCTGCTGGAGTACCTGGTGCTGTTGTTGGTGTATCATTTTAACGTTTTTATAATCCTCATAGTTTTCGCTACACATATTCCAATTGTTGGATGTATCATCAGCAGAATCATCCTCTGTCGGTGCATTTGAGTTGTTAGAAGCAGCTGCTGAAGAACCTCCCGCATTTGATTGCTGGGCCCGCTGTAGTTGTTGCTGTTGCTGCAGCAATTGCAGCGCATTGCTTCCGTTTGTCTGCTGACGCTGCTGCAGCGGCTGCTGTTCCTTGTGCTGCTGTTGTTGTTGCTTAACAGATGACGCTGTTGCCGTGCTTATGGTTGTTGTCGATGTGGTCGAGTTGGTAGCCGTATCATCCGTTTCAGTGCTATCCATTTGCGACTGTTGCTTTAGGCTGGTCAGCACCGTCGGTTCACATACAACTCCCTGCCTCATTTGCTGCAATTGCTTGTAGTTGACAGCCGCTTCGGAACCATAGAGACCACGTATGCGCAGCTGTTCCGCACAGCGCAGCAATTGGCCCAAGCCCGCCTGCGTCACATTCACTTCGCCCTTGTACATAAAGTCGACCAGCGCCTGAATCTCCCATAATTTGATGTCACTGGGCAATATTATAACCGGATGCTTGCAAGGATTCTCGGCGAGTATAGCTTCAAAATAGGTGGAGCATGCGGCTAATACTAGGCGATGACAATGCACCTGATGACCTTCGCATGCCAGTGTCACGTCCACAAAACGTTGACCAGCCAAAAGCTGCGGGAACGCGGCACCGATGCTGCCTAGGTGACTGTTCCAGCGAACACAAAACTCCTGTGTGGCGCCGCTCATTGTGGTAATGTCGACGGAAGCTCAGCGAACCTGTGAGAGAAAAAAGATACAAACATTGATTTTTAATACTTTCTTTATATGCACATAAGTTTCTATTTGGTTTTAGATTATTGCACTTAAATTTCGCATATTTCCTGCAGGCAGGTCATTTGGCAAAACCATCAAAAACATTACATAGCTTCCATAGAAACGATCGGGCTTAAAATAAAATTTTTATGATATTGGAACACAAATTCGGTACTTAAAACTGTGGTCAACCCATACTACTATATCACATGGCTATCATAGCAGCTATCAGACCTGCAAAAGGTCCTAGCTTTTACAGATGCCGTAAAATCAAATATTGAAAAAATATTCGGTTCTTGAAGCTAAAGTACGGACTTTATTGCTTATACAAGTAAATACTCAAAATTAAGTTTACCAGTGAAATAAACATTTGTACAGCGATCGTTATGAAATACAAGTATTAACAGTATATTCATTTTAAGCACTTCGTATATTTGACCAGGAAAACGTAAATGGTTACATGACATATGTATAGCTTATTTTGAGTAAAAAAAAAATGCCATAGTTTATTTCGGGCAGCACTTAATGACCTCCCGGGTTAGCAGTGCGTATCATTGAACTCCTACTGACAATGTGCAAAGCAATTTATATTCACACGTACTATATGCTTTCAGAATTTCCAAAATAGATCCTCTTATTAGTATATTATTCCATGAATTGGTGATTATTCGGCTTACAAAAAACCTAATGAGTCAACGAAAGTTATTTTTCTTTGAACTTGAGAAGTCCAATTTAAATTAAATAAAATAAAATTTAAATAAATTTGTACGAATTTATTTAAGCCTTATTTTTCTGAATTGAACTGAAATTAGTGTACTGCTAGTTATTCCGAAATTTATAATTATAGCTTACCAAAGAGAAAACAATGAAGTGGTGTTACAATCATTGAAATATTTAGTTCAAAAGGTTTTTGGGCAACACCTGTTTACAGATACCTTATAAAAATTGAGTATCGTGATTACACGGCCTTTTGAACTACGATCCTAAGTGACCATATTGATGAAACGAAAACAACTCGATATTTTATTAAAAATGACAGCCTCGGTAAAAAAAAAATAATGTGGCCTCCCTTTAGGTTTGATTACATACAACAGGAGAATTTGCGAGACTTTTTGCAAAACATTTCTGTCATTAATATCTTGAAAATACATTTAGATTCCATTATAATAGCTTTATCAATGTGTGACAATCATTTTTTGTTTTTGGGCATTTTAAATTGTACTCAAATAAATTAAACACTGTTCGACGCGGTGTTACCACCTCGAATGCAGAAATGCACTTTTGTTTGTTCCCGCAAAATATAAAAAATCGTGTAAAAATGTACATGTGTATGTATGTGTGTATATTTTAGGCAAATTGGACGAATATCGAATGTGATGTTGCAAAAGTATTCCTATAGAGTTAATTAAAATAGTATATAATTAATGTACATACATATGTATATACATACATGGATGCAACCATACAAACTTATACATAGATGTTTTTATATACATTTCAAAGACACAAAGCACGCATTAAGCACATTTCAGCGAATTTAAACAATACTACACATCCACCGCCAAAGTGAAATACTTACAGTTCAATAATTAATTCTTAATCGTTTCCTTGTGTTATTAACATTAAACACCAACAACAACAAATGTTGAAAAATACAACTGGAGGCGAACCCTCCTTGGCTTTTTGCACTTTTATAATTTCAAACAGAATTGATTTTTCTTCTAAAACACTTCAACGCCACAATTTTGCATTTTGTTAAATATACGCCGGCTGTTTTCACAATGTTTTTAATGCGAAAATGTGACAGCAGCTACCACGACGCGTACAATTTTACTTTGTAGACACCTCGGGTGTATGCTTAAAAATGTAGTCGTGCTTCTTCCTTGTAGTCTGTGTGTGTGCTGGTTTTTTCCTTTTTTCATTAAACAAACACCAAAAGACAAAGAATTATACTGAAAAAGTGAAGTAATGAAAATCAAGTAAAGCAGCAACGACCAACGGCAGCAGCCGAACGATAAAAACGTCGTCGTCGGCAGCTAGAGCAAGGCAAAGGCAAAAGACTTGTTGTGTTTGTATTTGCCGTAGCTGTTGCGAGCGAGGAGCAATTTTGAGCACTTTACTTTAGCAATTTCGATTTATACAAAAGCACGCACACAAAGAAAAACAAAAACGACGCAGAAAGGAAGCAGCAGCCAAAGCAAGTATAAAAAAAAGGGTCGCAGCACACAACACACGCATGCAAGATGGAGTAGACCAAAAACACAAGGCGAGAGCGTAAAACGATTGCGCACACATACATACATATGTATATACATACATGTGTAGTTAAATACATGTGTATGTATGCATTGCAAAAGGAAGCTAAGGAATCTGAAGAGTGAACGAACAGAAGCATAAATACAAAAACGTACAGCTGTATGAACATACTCGCCAATATTTTTAAAATAATAGAGTAAATTTTCGCTGAGTTTGTATCGATTCTTTAGTGTTGAATAGCAAGGAAACGTTAAATTTTTAATGGGTACATACATACATACAGGCCTATGTATATGTTGCAAATATTGTACATACATACATATGTACATACACTCGGAATTGAACAGTGAGTTGGAAGTGTAGCACATTGTCAGCTGTTTTGACGGTACACTTTGTTTGCAAGGTGTATGGCTCATCGGATGTTTCTTAAGATTGCCATTTCGCAAGGTGTGGGAAAACTTAAAAAGGACTTTTCAAAGTATTTAATTTGAAATATATGTACATATGCATGTACATATCTATGTACATATGTTTATTTATTGCACAATGCAGAACTTTTTTAACGAATTTGCAAACAGGTTATTTCCTACTAATGCCAGTATATACAAACATAAATACAAATATGTACGTACATATGCACATATGTATGTACAAGTATATTGTATGTATCAATATCCACATTGAAATAAGAGCGAAACTACTCCTGACATAGTACCCTGCCCCCACTTTAAAAAGATTATAAATTTTAAATTTAAAACGATATAAGAATTGATATAGAGTTTCTGTTGACCTGTCTGTTTTTGTGTAATCTATTCAATTTTAATGTTTTCGCATTGAAATTATTTGTCAAAATTGACTGGTTATATCCGTTAGCTTACATAAGACTCTTAGCCGAGTCTGCATAACTTTTTTGCCTTTAAGGCTACATACACATGTATGTATGTATGTATGTCAACCAAATTCGACATGGGTTGGAAATCGGACTGATATGTACATACACATGTATGTGTATGGATGGTTTACATGTGTGTAAAATTGTATATATGTACATGTATATGTATTTATAATTTTAAAAATAATAAACTTAGTCTTTCTCGAACTATGAAGCCTGCTAAAAGTTTATTGAATAGCTCTGATATTTCCATAGATTGTTCGTTCTTACTGACGAGCATGTCTATATCGGTTCCTGCCATACTGATTCGTAATGATTTATGTACATACATACATATGTATATGGTATGGTCTTTGTGGGGTCTATCCCTGCTTTAAATCTCTCGCAATAAACTCTACACATATGTATGTACATATATACATAAGCATGCACTCGTATAATGCATATGTATGTTTCTTTCTTATTCCTGCAAGCAGATCATTTGTTAAAACCGGCCGATTTTATACTTATACATAAGTTTGCTCCCAAGTCCGACCGCTATACTCTACAGCTACCATGGCAACAATAGAAATAAAAATAAAACATTTTTGTTCATTGCGGAAGTCTCCCTTCTCCAAGGTTCCAAGCATTTTGGGAAACATTTTAAAAAGGTTCAAATCCGCATATTGTTCCCACTTTAAATAACAGGATAGACATACATACATTCATAAGTATTCTCACTTTTTATAGCCAATCTTCACAGTTTATTTGGTGTTTTGCTTATGTAGTTTCGCAGATTGAGTACATACATACATATGTATATATGTATGTATTACATACATACATATGCATGACTCATTTTGGTAACAAATGTACATGCGCATAAATAGTTCTTTTTTTTAAGTATAATTATAATTAAAAAAATTATTCGGTGGTATTCTTTTGTATTTGATTGGGGAAATTCTGTTTTGTTGCCCTGAAAAAATTTGCACTCGCATCTGTTAGCATCAACAAACGATGTCGCAGTTTCTGTTTAGGTGCTCGTAGGTACGTAGATACATACATACAAGTACATACACAGACTTAAGTTTATTTATAAGTTCAAGTATACATACATATACATATGTATGCATATGGAAATTTATGAAAGATCTATAAGCATAACACTACATAAAAGTTAAACAGCATTGGAACAGGGGATTATCAAATTGACATTCTTTGAAAGTATTAGTCAACATTATAAAAATTATAACGATTAACAGAATTTATAATATTTTCTATTACAATCATTCCCCATAAAATGGGGCTTAGATTTGGTGCCGCTTTAGGTTTCGTTTAAGGTATTCAGGTCTTTTGATGGATTTAAATATTAGTTTCTTTTAGGTGCCTACTTTATCAGAATAAACACTCATTGACTAGATAAGAAACCTAGTGGTGAAAAAACTGCAAGTCACTTTATTTCTGGAATCAATTGGTGATAAAATAAAAGCAAAACTTATATATTCACGAATTTCAATGTCAATATTCACAATGCTTGAAACATACAAATTCGTTTGCGACGTAACGAAATTTCTTTTTCAGAATTCGTTTATTCATAAAACAGAGAAGAGATACAATGCTAAAAGACAACATTAAACATTTTCGAGAACACAAAATTGCAAATTTAACATTTTTTGGTTGAAGCCGATAAAAATGTTTAAATCCAAACGGAAGATAAGATATACATACATATATCGAACTCGTATGTGATGTGATCGAATAGCGTAACGGTAAAATTTCTAGAATATAAATGATTGAATAAAATTGAGTAAACTAAACAGAAGAGCTATTCTTTATATGTACATTTTAAATAATTGTTCATCACTTTTGAGCGAATGATAGCCGGAGGATCATTGCTGCTTTCAGGACCAAAAAAGTAAGTTAAATAGCGATGGACTGCCTGTCTACATGGTGATGGTAGAGCATAAACCATTACCGACATAAGTTATGTCATATCATAAGAACAACAAAGCCGTAAAAGTACGTAGTTGCCGATATAAACATTCGGGGAATTATGAAATTGTTCAGTTTTTAAAACATTTGCTTTGACATACTATTTATGTACAAACATATATACATATATCAGTAAGTATTAATGTTATAATCTTCATATTTGGCGCCAAAATTACGAAGTGATCGGGTTTGTAATTATGTACTCAAAAGGTATCGAATTGAAACGAGTAAAAAAACTTGCAGTAAGGCCTTGTCACTTTATTCGCTAAAAAATTGGAGAACCTTTGTGAAATAAATGTGTTCCAATCTAATATGTTAAAAATAATTATACATATACATATTTTTTTAGTCAAGCGGAGAAGTAGCCGTGCAATCTATCAATTTGTAGAAGAAAAATAAATATATTAATAATACAATAAAAGTCAAAGCAAAAAGGTAGTCCGAAGTAATGCAGAGGAACGAATTTGTTACTTAAAATTACATGCTCGTGTTAAATTCCTTAATGAAATATATTGCGGTTTTATGGACGTCAAATGGTTATGAAAAAAAGTCAGTGAATAGAGTAGGGAAACATGAGTGATGGGAACTACAGGGAAATTAAGTAGGCATGTATGTATGTACATACAATGTAGATGAGCAGAATAAAGTCTTCTCCTGAACAGTCACATACACACATATGTATGTACGCATGTAATTACAAAATAATTAGCATCTGCCGCACGCAACTATTAAAGGAGTGGGTGCTAAATACGACAAAGTTCATTACAAATTATAAAAAACTATATGAATGAAAAAAAGCCGATTAGACATATGTACATATGTACATACATAGTAAACCAAAACATAGAAATTCGGGCCAAAAGAAATCATGAGTGAGGCGGTTTAAATAATCATCAATAAAAAATAAAAAAAAAATTGGCCGCACTTTATTTTATTAGTATATCAGATATACATATGTATTTAATATATAATTATTTCCAACTTATATAATACAAATGTACGTACATATGTATGTATATTACCTAATCCTATAATGCATTTAGTTATGTAGGTACGAATAAATGTACGTGGTTCATACATACATACATACAACCAAAAAGGACATATGTACGTATGTAAATAAATATGTATGTTTGTAGATACATATGTGTAAGGACGTATTAGATGCTTCGCATTGGCTGTTATACTTTACCTAAAGTTTGTAATATAAGCCACCAGTGGCAGAAGTGTCCTGGCGTACTGTTTAGAAGTCTTTTTGTTTAACGACCGTTACACAAAACACGCACGTATGACTAAACTTATTGATTTTTCGCAATGTTAAATGTTTACCAAAGACATAACACATACCACACTATCTCGTGTGAGTTGTTTAACATTTTTCAACGCGCGTGTTTTGAAATATAACGTATCACCACAGTAAAATGCACACTTCTTATGGCGAACTGTACTAGACAGCGTAAACAACAGGAGTCACGAAATTCCACATGCACAATAACACCACACAGTCCATAATTTGCAAATAATAGTTGTTTTGAAGGCGTTTTCAAATGGATGGGATGTGTTTTTAGTTGATTATATTACGTTTACACCAATTACTGCCCTTATAAAATGTCAACAGTGTCATATAATCGTAATAATGATAACGTTTTTAGCGCACTCCCAATAGTTTAAGACGCTTAGAATTGAAATAATATATTGTTATTGTTTAGTTTATCTGAAGTTTGTCGGTCACTGGCTTCGGCGCCAGTTAGAGATGAGCAATGTATAGTGACTGTTACTTTGTCACTAGCATCAACATCAATATCACAACGGTGATCAAATAATGTACGGAGTACAACACTACAATTCAGCTATCTATGTAAATTCATTATCGAAAATATAATTGTCAATATTTAAACTACATCAACACTTTATTT